TTTTTTTTTCCCCCAGTCAGGGTCAGTGAAATTTCCATAGTGAAATCTACAATTATTGAAAATAATAAAAATTAACAATTCAGAAATTTATAAATCATCACAATTGAAACAATTTTTTTTAAAATGGAACTTATATATGAATCAGATATATGCATGATGCAGCATAATTTTTTTTCCAGACATAAAAGTGATTTTTTTAGAGGTTTTATGACAATTAAGATTTGCAATATAAAACAAATTTACTACTGGAGAGGCAGGGGCAAGAAGTTCAACAATGATCACTTCGTATAGATCCAGAAATATCTAATTTTCTCGAAATTTATGAAAAAAATAAATAGGCTCCCACAGTAAATTAAATTCATTTATATCCCCAAATGTTAAACACACACAACTTTAAGGTAATTACTCAAAAATCAAGAAGTTTTGCACCCAACAACAATTTACCCTTTGATTAAAAAAGCCCCTTCATATACTTTGAAAATGCCCTAAAATAAAAAAATTGCCCTTGGAAATAAATAATTAAGATTATACACAAAATTGCCCAAAATGAAAAACCACACAAACAAAATTTGCCTCTAAATCAAAGATTTAAGATTTCCCCTAACTGAAAATTGCCCCCCCCCCAAAAAAAAAAAATTTACCCCTAAAGTATTCTGAATTGGTAAGGTATTTTTTCATTTTAATACCCATTTTTCTTGCCCCCCCCCCCCCACAGAAATGTGGGGGGGTGAACAAAATTCTTGCTGAGTATTATATTTATAGTTCAGCGCCCACTGTATAACCACTGCATATGAATATGTATTATGTAAGGAACAAGAAGACTGGAACATACATTTATATTCATGTGTGTTTCGTATATGTATCCGTTGATTTTTGAAAATATATATATGGTTTTTAACATGCTTATTGTGCGCACTGTATTCTAATTTATATGCAGTGAGACACATAAACTGAGGAATCCGAATAGGAAGAGGCAGGGGCTTATTCAGGAATTTGTCCAGGGGGGCTTAAATTTTTTTCTTTCCAGGGGGGGCTCAGCACCCGTTGGGACATGAAAACCCCCTGAAATCAATAGATTTCACTGGTCCAGGGGCGCTTAGCCTCAATAGCCCCCCCCCCCATTGAATATGCCTCTGGGAAGAGCATCATTCCAACAATCTGATGTGTATTTGATATGTTTGCATAAGGCAAATAGTTTAGCCAATAACCTTGAAAATCAACTTATAAATGAAATGGGTCTCGCCGTCTCTTTTGGAATGTTTTAGTTGATGGTAGCCGGCAAAAAAGATAAAATGTTTGAAAACAAATCCCAAAAAATGTATCCGACCATGCATCATAACTCTCAGACTTTGCTTATAATTTTTCGTGTGTATGTACTTTATAGATTAATGTATCTACCCATAAAAGCCACTATTTTTTCTTCGTGCAACATACAGTGAAACCCTAAATAAGGAATACATCGGAAGAATTTATCAAATGTCGTCTTGACAATTTTTCAATGAGTTTTATACTATTACATAAATTTCAGTATTTGCGAAAATAAATAAGTAGCCATCAGTATATGTGGGAACGGTTTTAAAGAGCTCGATTTAATCATTTTATTAAAAACTAAATATCTGCAACATAACATTATCAGAAAGTAAAGAATACGACATTTGATGAATTCTTTCGATGTATTCGTTATTAAGGGTTTCACTGTAGTAAAACTCAAAATTTCGTTGATTTCTCTGCTATAGATTTCGACCAGCTATAGATGAACAAAATACATGGATATTATACATGAAAACTGATAACATTTATTGACGTATACGATTTATTAAAATCTAAATATCTATATTTCCGTTCGTTTTTACTTAACAATTTTTGCTTTACACACTGCAGTTTACAATTTACACCGTTCTACATTATACATTGTGCACTCATTATGCGGGATTTGTTTTCTTGGATTTATTTTCAATTTGTTCTGAAATTTTATCTTTTTCTGAAAAAAAAACTAGAGAAACAATCAAATTCACAGTACTTCGTCTTCAATGCAGTTCCGTGCTTGATTACGTTAAAGATCTAACATAAACGTATACGATCAGAAGATGTTTTATCAAATATTTTATGAGCTTCCAGCCAATCAAAACTTCACTAACCAAACCGCCGGGTATTTTGTGAAAGTGATTAGAAATATATAGAAAAAATTATAAATTTTACGTCTACTGATCTTTAAACATAATTATTTGTTTTTGGAAAAAAAACTCTGTTTAATCGAAATTATATTGAATTTGTATTGTTATTTCTATAAAAATTGCGTTCTTTATACTTTATTTTAAAAAATTATCTATGCAAACAATCCTTTTCTTAAACTTACATAATAAACTTTTTTTATTTTCATAATTCGTTCTTTAGTACGTATCTTTAGTACGTATCTTTAGTACGTATCTTTAGTACGTATCTTTGCACACAAATAACTCGACTTTAATGACAACCAAGGACTCTTTCAATGACAATCTAAAGGTGAAATTGACCAAATTTAAATTGACTTTAGTTTTTATGATAATGAATGATTTGGCAAAAAAAAGTGTACAGTTATGTTTGACCATAAAAATGATAAAAAGTCTGACTAAATTACGTACAGTTGTCTCCAGGACGTCTAATATGTTGTGGGTATTTTCTAACTAAATATAATGATAGTTGTGCATGTTTCAATCGTAAAACAGCTAACTGCGCTGAGTGTTAGTTTTGAGCACACATGTTTTATGATGAACGTTTTGAAAACAACACTATTACATATTAATTGGTTTCCATTTTCGCATTCGCACGAATCAGAAATTCTATGTTGTAAGCGTTTTGGAACGTAAGCAAACTTGTAGCAATTATAATTTGAGAATCTGTAATCAACATTTGATAAAATATCATTGGTCAATAGTGACTGGCAGCATGCGCACGCGCGCAACCAGACATTTTGTTGGGGTTGGCAAGAGCTAAATATTTCGTGCGAAGCGCGAAAAAAAATTGTTGCTCCCCCCCCATAAACATTTTAGAGGGGGGTAAGAAAAATGTGTATTATACTCAAACAATAAAAAAACTAACCTTACCAACCGGATTTTCAGTAATTCAGCACATCTGATGTGAAATAAAAAGAAATTTATTCTAGTTAATATAAATCACAATATTGATTGATTTACATTTTACACATATATATATATAAATTTGGCTTGTCTGTTTGTTTGTTTGTATGCAATAAACGTCAAAACGGCTGAACCGATCGGGCCCAAATTTTTGTGGGACATCTAGGGACTCCAGGGAAGGTTTATGAATGATTGAAATTTTAAATATTTGTCTCAATCAAAATTCGATCGTCATTAAATTTTTTAAAATTTTGAAAATCCACGAATTTTATTGTGAAAATCCGCGAATTATTTTTGTTTTGTTTTACGTATACACAAAGAGAACATTGTTCACAATTAATTTAGAAGATGGGCGCGAAGCGCCCTCTAATGCTAGAAAGAAGGGCGCGAAGCGCCTTGAATTTCTAGTATATTATATATATTCATTATTTATCCATAAATCAAATATGTACATTGTACTCATAGACATTGACAAGAAATGCATCCTTTCATTTAAAATCATGATTTTACATGAAAAATATTTTTTTTAGTATGACACTGACACATCGCACAATATTTGCGGTGAGCATGTAGGATTAATTTAATAGTTGTACTACAATATTAAAGCAATATCATAATACTTAATAAACCCTCTCTTCCTTTTCCAGGAATTCATGAATCGCTGAATTGCAAAACAGGTTGGACTTCTTGACAAGTATAGGGGCTTATTCTTTCCTTTCTCTGGGGGGGGGGGTGTGTCAGCACCCGTTTGGGCCTGACAATCCCTGAAAACAATAAATTTTACTGGACCATGAGGGAAGCCCCCATAGCCCCCCCCCCCTCCCACTAATTACGCCTTATATGTTTTATCTTTCTAAGATTAAAATGATCGAACTGCTGAATTTTTTTAAAAATCTGTTTCATATTATATTTTTAAACATGGAGAATAAAAGCAGTTTCTTTACTAATTAAATGACAATCTGCTGGATTTCCGTATGTTTAATTTAATTGCAAGAACAATAGAATATTTACATAAGAATACTTATTTTGGTTTTAAGTCATTATTTTTTGAAATAACAAAATATAACTTACACATTTTTTGTTTGTCATTGTCTTAATTTTACGAACTTAATTTAAAAAAATTGTTTTGTTACCAAAATACGAGTACTTTCTTAAGGTAACATTGATTCAAATCTGTCTCAAAATCACTACTATTCCCAAAGTTTTTTTGCTCAAAATTATCAATTCTCAAAAGTAAAAGTAAAAATAAATTAATTTTTGTAGATGGACTATTTATACATTTTGGGTCTAAACATGAAGTCTTGACTATTTTATGAATAAAATATGCAGACGGTTTTTTCATTCGCCTTTTATAAAAAGACCTAAATATCTATAAACTCTGTGTTCGAGCCTTCAAAAGAAAACCAGAGGTCGAAACTTTGTATTAATGATTTCTGTAGAATTTAATCCTCAAATTTTCCCTTTATGTTCTATCCGAAGCTCTCAGAAAGAAAATTAAGGATTGAAATTTGAGTAATAATAAGTACTTTTAAAATCAAAAATCATTAACAGATTTGTTAAAACCTGAACTAATTAACAGATTAACTTGTTTATTGTTTGTTTAGCGAAATCTACAATATCAAAACCTAATAATATACGGTTTAGTAAATGTCTTGTAAAATACAAGACTATTTCATAATTTCTATTTTTTCCTTAAAGATCTAAACAAACTTCAAAACTAATAAAAAAACAACCAAGGGCGTATACGGGGGGGGGGGGGGGCAAGGGGGAAAGTGCCCCCCTAGAACTCAGAGCTATCACAGTTTTAAAATCTTAAACTGAAGAGTGAAGAACATAAAAAATTAGATAGCTGTTTTTTCCGCTAGTTTTGTTTGAAGGAGAGATAAAGTAGTACTTTTAATCGGACTGTATGTGTACCTTTAAAGTATCTAAGAAGCCAAATATTTTGAATTTACAGTTCAAATCCCCCCCTAGGAGCTCCTAGGGGGGGGGGGGCATATTTAACCCCTCACTATAAGATTTATTTCTTTATACGCCCTTGAAAACAACTGATAAGACATTTTTTTAATCTGTGAAGTTTAAAAGTACAAGGAGTGTTGGTAGTAATGGGGGGGGGGGACATTTGATTTATTTTTTAATTCATCTTTTAATTACAAGAAACAAAAAAAATTATCGTCAATAATTTTAACAGGGGCGTAACCATAGGTTGAGGCGTATTCAGTAGGGGGGGGGGTGTAAAGTATGCTGCTTTTTAGTGGGGTTTTGGGCCCAAACGAGTGCTGAGCCCTTTCCTTCCCCCCCCCCCCCCCCAACACCTTCACCAGAAAGAACAAAATCATAAGTCCCTAGTGGACAAATTCCTGAATACTTCTCTGACATGGTGTGTTTTATAGTGGATGGAAATTATTTGTGGTTTCAAATAACCAGAGCTCAGAATATATTTTGTATCTCTTTATTACAGGGATGCAATGAATCTATAGGAGGAAATATTATATTCCCAAGTTATTTTTTTGCATCCTTGTTGCCTCACGTAAAAGTAGAGATATGTAATTTTTTCAACTTTTAAACAAATTTTATGAAGATTTTTCCACTTCTAAACAAAAAATAACATTATAATTTATATAATAAATCAACCTTTTTAGGTTTTAAAAACTGTAAAATCTATTTATCTAGTTTTGTAACACATATTTTTGGTTCAGAAATAAAATCTGAATAATGTTTACAGAGTTGTTAATTCACACCTTTTTGGCAGAAAAATTTGCAATCAATTAGATTGCATCCCTATACAATGTATAAGTTAGTAGCAGGCAAAACATAATGAACTTCAAGAGATTAGTATAATGAAACAAAAACAAAAACTAAATTTTTCCGACCCATAAATACATCTATTTAGTTTTATTATTCACCAGTTAATGTTAATGTTTCATATTTATCCCTGTTTTCCCTTTTAAATTTCAGTTTTCACATTTCAAGGGGAGGGATTAACGGTCCCATCTTGAAAGAGGGGGGAGTTGAGGGTGACAGTCCTGAACCCCCCCCCCCCCCTTACTTGCACCCCTGGATTAAATGCAAACAAAATTTTCGGACGGCTTTTTCTCTTAACATAGGGTTCGACAGGGGCGGATACAGGATTTAAGTGAGGGGGGGGGGGCAAGATTTTTTAGGAACAAAAAAATTAATAATTAGGAACAAAAAACCGTGCTGGAGGCGAAATTTTTTTTGACTTAAAAGACTCAAAAAGAGTCAAAATTAATGACTATAGACTAAAAAACTAGATTTTTAAGTTTTAGGAACAAAATTAAAGGATTAGAACAGGAATTTAGGAACAATTAAAAGATTGTTCAGGAATTAGGAACAAAAATTAAGGATTAGGACAGGAATTTAGGAACAATTAAAAGATTGTTCAGGAATTAGGAACAAAATTAAACGATTCGGACAGGGATTTAGGAACAATAAAAAGATTGTTTAGGAGTTAGGAACAAAAATAAAGGATTAGGACAGGGATTTAGGAACAATAAAAATATTGTTCAGGAATTAGGAACAAAAATATAGGATTAGGACAGGGATTTAAGGTGGGTCGGACACAGTATTAGGAACAGGAACAATAATAGGAACATTAGCAATTTAAGAACAAAAAGAAATTACTAATTATACTTAAATGCATGAAAATTAGGAACAATATTACAATTTTGATAAATGAGTATTGATTAAGGAACATTACTAGATATGAATAATATTATAACTTAAGTCTAGTTTCTTACAAATTTCTAATTCTAAATTTATCGTTAATACTTATCAAATTGGGAACATTTTTTGCCTCGAAATCTCAGGGGGGGGCTACGCCCCTCCCTGAATCTGTCAGGGGGTGGCGAATGTCCCCTCCCCTGTATCCGCCCCTGGGGTTCGAGATACGATATTCAACAAAAAAAAAACATCTTAAAAGGGAGTGACCGGCTAAGTAAGGTAGTTGAACTGAGTATGTAGTGTTGTGGAAAGCTTCTTTCGGATTCATTTGAGACATATTAACCTTTTTAAAGATCGATAAGTCCTGAGTTTGAGCGCAAATTCGACGTTCAAAACTCAACAACGACAACGACAAATAAAGTTAAAATTATACAGTAGTTTAATTAGATGGTTAGGAACATATTTCTCAAAAGAAATTTGTCAATAAATCAACGCTCAAATCGATTATTTCGTTTTCATCATTATATTGAATTTCTAATTTTCTTTGATTTATTCGCAGATTTCTTCAAATTCTTCAAATGTCGTCTTTTCAATAATAATTCTAGAAAATCTGTGAAAATCTGTGTGAATAATGAGAAACCACAATAATGAGATAATAAAAACTAATAGTTGAACAAGATTACTTATTTTCGATGAAAAGATTAATTTTTATTTTATTAACTTTTTTACATTTTATGTCGATGTTATTTAATAATTTTTAAAAAATTAATTCTGAAAACGTATCCACCCCCAAAGTAGGAGTTTTGAACATCGAATTTGCGCTCAAACTCAGGATTTACAGATCTTTAAAACGTTTAATATGTCTCAAATGAATTCGAAAGAAGCTTTCGACAACACTGCATACTCAGTTCAACTACCTTACATAGCCGGTCACTCCCTTAAAAGGGACTCTAAGCCTAAATTTAAGTGACTTTCCATACAAAGATGGTAATTTCCAATTTACATCAGTGCTTTAATTTTAAAGCTTTGTCTGATCAAATATGAATTAAATTTAAAACATAACTGATTTTAAAAACTAATTATTTTCAACTGTGGTTTCTCTACAGAAGTGATTTGTGCAATTTTATACTCCATGAAAACATATAGAAATTCAAAATTTTAAACCCTAGAAAAACTACAATATCTTCTACATTATTGATCAGATGAAGGTTTCAAAGATACCGTTCAAGTTTAGGATGATACAAAAAACACTTATTTGGAAATTTGCAACAACAACCCCCCCCCACACTTAAAATTTTGGGTCTTGTAGATGCTTTGATGGAAGAAAAGCTAAACTGAAGTGGATTGAAATATTCTTGTAAAAGAATGAACTTGAGCTGGTTCAGAATTTAGCTTGATCCCACCATCACAAGTAACACTGTTTTGCCGCGAAGCGTTCTTTTTCCTGAAAGCAGCCTTCTCAAACGTTCCAAGATCTTTTACAGTATCTCTATTTAGGTTTCTAACTTCTCTTCTGCTTCTGTTCCCAACACTAATCATTCCATTAATTTCCCCATCAGGTTCACCCATATTCCATTCACTGGCGCTCATTTTTGTCAGTTGACCTTTGACCTTCTGTGTGTTAAGATGTCGGGTAGCTTGCTTTTTCCAGTCATCGTCACCCATATTTTCAACAAGCTTTCGTCGTTTTTTTCTTTGAAAAGGATTTACAGAGTTTTTTGATTCCTGGTACACATGGTGTCCAATATCCATTTTGTGTGTTTCAGAATTTTGACATGATGTAAGATTATTTGGGGTTATAAGTAAAGAATCGGGATCACGGTACAGACTCTCGTGTACACAGAGGTTTAAAGAACTTGGCAGATTTTTTTTGAAGTTTTTCTGTCGCAGAGTTTCGTTCTTGTTAAACCCAACTTAAAATTTTGTTTCAATAAAAAAATTTGTAAAAATAAGATTTGTGTAAATTACAACCTTTTTTGTACTTTTAAAGACTTTTGGATAGGTAACTATACTGAGAGTGAGACATGACAAAAACTTCAACTTCAACCCTTTTAATTAAAGTTTGCTGACTATTTAATCAAAAACTTAATTTCCATCAAAGATTGCAGTTCATGATTTTTTAAATTTCTAGATTAAAGTGTTCTGACTTTAATTTCTCACTTAATTAAAAAAAATATCAAAACCATTATGATTTCCATTAATAAATTAATACTTCAAATAGGATATAACAGTAATCTAACAAATGAATCCATAGAAATCCATAGATTTGCATAATAATATTTGCTAAAACGCTGACAAATTTGTAAAAGTAAGAATTTGTGCCAGAAAAAAAAAATCAGATTTTTGCTAATTTAAATTTCGACAAAGTTTTTTTATCTCAACAATCCTTTGGTTTTAGTACGGTTTACTTTTCCTCCTTTTAACCCTTCAAATTTACAAACTTCAGTTGAAAATTTCAGCTTGTCTTCAAAATTGTCCAAACCACTTTGCTCAGCCATCGAAATTTTATCCGCCATATTGGATTCTGGATCATAATCTAAAGGAGAATATGGTTCTTGAAAAACACTTTTAAGTGAAGATGAAGAGGAAGGAAATCTGCTTTCTGAAACAAAGAAGAAATCAAATCATGGCTAAGGACCACCATTTTAAAAGAAATAATTTCATACAGTAAAATTTCAAAGATTTCTTTGTCTTCATTGGTTTTTTGACTTGACAATTTTTTTTATTGAAATTACAAGTTAATATTATTTTCTTATTGTTTTACTTTAGCTGTTACGAGCTTTTTTTAACATTGATGTCGTACATGAATTGTTTATGACATTTTATGAAAAAAAAAATTTCTGAGTTTGATTTGTACTTTTTAAACCGGCTTTTCTTGCAAACTCATGAGCATTTTACTGGCGTTAAAAATACTTTAAAATACCTAAATTTTTTAATTTTCTCTTTTATTTTGCAAAGGAATTGGGTTTTTGTCACAAACTCTTGTTTTCAAATCCCTTAATCTTTGTAACCTGATGGTGTAAACCTTTGATATTTGAAACTTACATAGATTATTTAATCTAAGAAATCGAAGTTTGAAATATCATTCATTGGGTTGGAACGATAAAAGGAATTAGAAAACCAGAGTTTGTGGCCAAATCTAAATTCATTAATAATAAAAAAAAATATGAAGGTAAACAAAAAGTTTAATATTTAAGGTTATACCGTGATATGTACGTTGGATAGATTCAGCAGCACTACCAGTGTGAACATGTGGAATGTTCCCTGTGCTGTACAAACCGGTTTTTTGGGAGCAGCTGATTCTGCCTGGCAACAGACTTTTCACGGATTTCAGGGAGCCCCACGAGTATTTCAGAATAGCATTTGTGTAAGAAGGATTTAAACCAGGTTCCAAATTGAGTTCTTGTGTCTCCAGTATGGGAGAAAAACAGTCCCTTTTGTAAGAAGCATGAATCATGATTTAAAATAAATGAAATTTCAAAAAGTTTTTAAAAGTTTTTTTTAAAAAAGTTGCATTGAAAATTATAGCTTGTTCTTTTAAACAATAAGCATGCCATGTGTTACACAGTAATAAAATGTTTGTATTTTCCTGTACAAATATTGTTTCAAATATTTTAATACTTTTTAAAAAAATATTTTTAATCTTTGTATTTTGTATTTTAATAAATATTTAGTTTAATCATTATTCTTGAAAAGTTTTATAATCACTTAATCAAGGGCATTCAGAAATAAATCTAGGGGGGGGGGCTAAATATGCGCGAAATAAACTGTAAATTCAAAACATTTGGCTTTTTGGATATCAGGCATAAGTGTCAGATACTTTAAAGGTACAAACTCAGCACAATTTCCTTGCAAATACTATACTTTAAGTGTACTGTGTAGTGTACATCTGTGAACTTATAAGAGAAAATTAGGTTACAGCACTGCAAAATTGCAACTTTATATTAAACAAATTTTGTTTATATTCTTCGATCTTCAGTTTAAGATTTGAAAGTGTGATAGCTCTGAGTTCTAGGCACTGCCCCCTTTGCCCCCCCCCCCCCCCCTGTATAACACCTTGCATATATTACATTTTTTTTTAAAGGATATTATAGTGTTTCCTCAGACTGGATATTTTGTTCTACTAATTACTTTCTAAGGCTGTATTTGTACTTAATTGGCAGGTTTATATATATATATAAATAAATATAAACAAAGAAAAAAATATATGCAAAATAAATCAATTAATATTATTTTTCACAAACAACGATGTTTGAAATCTAACTTTTTGAAAAATTCAACAAAAATAAGTCAACATAAAAAAAATCAATTTTTTAATGTGCTAATAATAGCAATACTTCTTTTTTTATATTATGTTTTCTCACCCCCTGAGGACAAAATTTGTTTGTTCTTTTACAGATCGATTTGTTTTAAGAATAAATAGAGTTTAAGAAATCTCAGATCAAAGGAGTACCATGCACGTCTTTTATTTTAATTGACATAAGTGCACATTATTTTGTTTTAAATGGTTTTCAGGGGATATTAAAATATGTAAATATTTTAATTAACTTAATTAATTGTCTAAAATTGGAGTAAACAATAAACAAACAAAAATTTTGCAAGATTTATGCTTATATTCCTGGATGAAATTGAACCGAAGCTGGCTGAAAAAAAAAACATTTTTAGTATAAATGAATAAAGCATAAAATGTTTCAACTCGGGGCTCATTTCAACCTTTAGTTTTAAGAGATGTCTTTATATATAGTACTTTTATTATTAAAGTATTTAAAGTTCAATATGCTTTGTTTGATAGATTTTTAAATGAGAGGCCAAAACTTGATGATAAATTTTCTTAATACTGGATTTCATACGTAAACACGCTTAGCCTGAGCACGCTTTAGGTTCGAAAAAAGTGTACAGAACGGTTCTACCTGGAAAATCCGCAATTTTACAAAAAAAATGAGTTATGCGAAAAAGCAGATTCACCTAAATTGTTCGGGTGGTCCTGCTATACCAAAATATCAAGGTTTTATTTTTTCAACATGAAGATTGTTTAGCAAAATGTGAAATTTTATATGAATATGTTAAGTAAATGAGAAAATCCGCGAAAACAAGCAATATTTGCCTTGGACATTCTTTTTGGATTTTCCTAAATACTATTCCTAAATCTTCAGATATTTTCCCTTAAGATTCAAAGGGCATTAGTTCCGTAAACTTTTTTAAAGCCTGCTCAGGCGAAATGTGCAAAGACGATCAAGAAAACAGAAAACGGCCCAATTATTAAAAACCCTTTTATGTACAGTATTAAAGATATTATAGATTATCTTAAAACACAGAAGTGAGTAAAATCAGGATTTTCAAAGAAAATTTTACCCATCCATGGATAAACCTGATTATACACACTTTGGGATGTACATGATTGTACATACACAAAAATGTTTATTTACCGCTAGGTCGTGGAGAACTGGGTTTACGGCTGAGTCGTCTAGTTCCTGATTTAAACCAGTTTATTGCAGTACATTACAGTGCAGAACGGTGCATAACAGTACAGTTCAGTACAGTACAGTACAGTACAGTACAGTACAGTACAGTACAGTATAGTACAGTACAGTACAGTACGGTACAGTACAGTACAGTACGGTACAGTACAGTACAGTACTGTAAAGTACAGTACAGTACAGTACAGTACAGTAAAGTACAGTGCAATGCAGTACAGTACAGTATAGTACAGTAAAGTACAGTAAAGTACAGTACAGTACAGTAAAGATCACAGTTAAATATAACTATTAACTAACTATAAGTCGATCGATCTATCTATCTATAATTGTCTATTTATCTCTCTATCTTGCATGTTTTTCTAATTTCTATCCATCCCCTAAGATTTTTCTATTTTTATAACGACAGAGAAAGAAACAAACAATATTGCTTTATCGTAGATAATGAATATAGTATTTGTATATTCTTTTAAATTGTTTTATACGCTGTACACTATATGACTACTTTAAAGTGTACACTGAACTGCTACCGTATACTGTACCGCTACTTTATACTGTACCGCTACTGTATACTGTACCGCTACTGTATACTGTACCGCTACTGTATACTGTACTCCTACAGTATACTGTACCGCTACTGTATACTGTACTGCTACTGTATACTGTACCGCTACTGTATACTGTACCGCTACTGTATACTGTACTGCTACTGTATAGTGTACACTGTACACCTACTGTATACAATATCGTTACTGTTTACTGTACCGCTACTGTACACTGTATTGCTACTGCATACTAAACCGCTACTGTACACCGTACTGCTATTGTATACTGTACCGCTACTGTAAACTGTACTACTACTGTACACTGTACTGCCACTTTACACTGTATAGCTACTTTACACTGTATTGACATTGCTACTGACACTGTACTGTATAACTGTACAATGTATACTGCTACTGTTAACTGTACTGCTACTGTACACTTTACTGCCAATGTACACTGTACTACTACTGAAAACTGTACTGCTACTGTAAACTGGAATGTATTATGTACTGCTAGTGTACACTGTATTGCTACTGTACACTGTACTGCTACTTTACACTGTACTGTACAATGTACTGCTAATGGTTCCCTGAAGCTATTCTGCCCAGGACCCAATTAATGAGATAATCCCAACTTTTCTGTCCTTGTACAGCTGCAGCCTTTAAATAGATTATAGATAGATAGATAGGATGGATAGGATGGATAGGATGGATAGGATGGATAGGATGGATAGGATGGATAGGATGGATAGGATGGATAGGATGGATAGGATGGATAGGATGGATAGGAGGGATGAGTATATTACCCCGTCAAAGTTGAGTGTATTTGCCCACACTATCCAGAGTCTGTACATGCTGTACAACCAGAGGAGCAAAATCATTACGGCCACAGTAAACCCACCTGCAGTACAAATGCAGTACAGATCATTTGCATGAGTATAGAATATACCTCTACCCAAGGTTAATAATGCAAGGAAAGTATTTTCAGAGGTGTGCGCATCTTTTGTACTGCAGTGTACTGTCTCTGCGCGGTAAGGTAAACACAAAACGGATGTCACAGCCGGACATGGGATCCACCTTTCACATAAAAATCAAAGAAATATTCTGGTAAAAGGACACTGTTATGTGAATTATTAAAATTATTAAAATCAAATGCTTTTATCCTCAACGGATACTAAACAAACACTGATGCATCTATTCTTGTTTACAAATTCCGCCCAGAGAGAACTGGTTTCAATATGTACGCAGAGTATACGCAACTGCAATTAACTTTCCTAGCACTATAAACTTGGCTGTACCTGTACCTGTACCTGTACCTTTACCAGAAGTGTACCTGTACCTGTACCTGTAGACCCAGAATCCTCTGAATGACTGTGATAGTAATATTTTCTATTTTTATGATCCCATCCTCTGAAATATTCTTGAAATTAAACCATTCTTTTAACTCTATGTTTTCATTTAATTACAAGAACATTTTAATAAACAAAACAACCAACTTCAAAACATTGTAAACAACAAAAGATTCTACTTTTCTTGTCGAAATCTAAAAATAATATCATTATTTTAAAGAGATAAAATCAAATTGATTGCACGATTACTCCACTATTCTTTTTTAATATAATTAGAATCATTATTATCATTATTATTATTATCATCTGATATAGAGAATACCTGTATTCCTGACCGAACTGAATCATCGGCCACGCCTCTTCTTGTGAATTGTAGGCGTCCCCTGGACTCCACGGTTTAAAGGAAACTAAAAGGGAATGGTTACGAAATGAGAGGGGTTTAGATGGAAACAATGGTAAATATTATTATTCTTATCTGAGTTTAAAGAACAGATTATTAATATCTAAATTTGTTGACCTAGTAACTCCTCTCCTTTTTATCTTACGCAGAAGTAAGTGGAAAGCCAATTTATTTTTAGCATTTCAGAAATATCTCTTTCAAACTTTTATTGAACAAAAATATATCAGATATAAATTTATGTATGGAGAATGTGTAATAAAATATACAAATATTTACAAAATGCTTCTCGCATTATACTCTCTTTACTTTCATAGTAAATTCAGAAATGTACACCTTTTTTAAAGGGACCGTTCACTTATTCGGGTAAATTCATGGTAAACTAATTAGCCTATTAGCTATATGACCGGAGAAAAAGCCGATTTATTATTCAGAATTCCATGCGGAAGGATCTGATACCTTTGCATTCACACTATTTAAACGTTTTTTCAGTAACCCAATAAAATCTAAAATTATCATTTAGCATGTAAGGATATATATATGTAAGAATACAATCTAACATAAATTTACTTTAATTTCACTGATGTATTTCTGAAAAGAGAATTTGGATAAAACTATTCTTCATGCTCCCCGGACTGTATTCCAGAATGTTTTTCAAAGCTTGAAAACACTGTGCGTCTGCGCATGCACAAATTCACACAGATTTCAGCTACGAGAAGAAAATTAGAGTCTAAGTTTTTATATTATAAACTCTATATTTCTCTCTCTGCGCAGATTCTTTGTTCAAAGAATGATGTCCTGATTTTTTTTCTCAAAATATTACACATCTACTTTCTAGCCAACTTTGTTACTTATGTATGATACAATCTCAAAATATTTGACATTTAATTAGTAGCAACGCACACACCTCAACTCGATGACCCCATTTTTTTTATTTTGGGGAAAGAAACATCTATAGCCCCGGACTAGCCTCGGCGAGATGCATTCGGTTTCTTCTAAATGAATTCAATTACGTTTTCGTCTAAAATTCAACTATCTTTGAACTTACGAAGTGGTGTTTTTTTTTTCCTTTTCGTTTAGAACGCATATGCCGACAAAAAAAGAATAAAATAGAAAAGGCAAAAAAAAAATATGTTTAATATGGCCAAATTGTGATCAAAAGTCACAGTTCTCTGGGCTAAGGACCGAACCGTTAAATCCGGATCCACCGGACCCAGTATTTCTCTGGCTGTGCTTCAATATTAAGAATTATCTAAGTCTAAATGTCCAAAGAAAATGAAAAATTTTCTTTGTATTTTCAAGTTCCATAAAACTGCTCCGGTTTATTTACGAAACATCTAAAACAGAAAAAATAAGCCATATTTAGAATTTAATATTGGTCCATCTAAAACCACTTCACATTCCTGTAAGACAAAAAAGTATAAAATAAGTATGAAGTGTTTTACAGAGGTTTTATACTTAATTTGCTAAGTTATTGGACTTTGAAGATATCAATGTTTAAAATCAATCAAAGTTCATAATTTTGAAAACTGATTATTTTCAATTGTGGTTTCTCTAAAAAAGTAACTCGTTGTGAATCGGGCATTGACATCTTTGCATGGGGGGTCACTTGACAATACGATTACAGTCCCTTTAACTTTTGCTACACGGTATCAAGAATGTAATGCAAGGAAAGTTAATTGCAGTTGCGTATACTCTGCGTACATATTGAAACCAATTCTCTCTGGGCGGAATTTGTAAACAAGAATAGATGCCTCAGTGTTCGTTTAGTATCCGAGAAGGGTTAAAAGCAGTGAATTTTGATAATTCACATAATAGTTTCCTATGACCAGAATATTTTATTGATTATTAATGTGAAAGATGGATCCCATGTCAGGCTTTGACATCCGTCTTGTGTTTACATTACCGCCCAGTGACAGTACACTGTAGTACAAAAGATGCGTACACCTCTGAAATAACTTTCCTTGCATTAAATCCTTCCATGGTATCGAGTGTATACTTTTCCTTGCTGGACAAGGTGACAAAATATTGTGGATTGTCCACAATTCTATCCAGTTTAATATATTGATATATTTTCAGGAGGGACTCCTCCCTTCGGTTTCGGATGATGAGGATGAAACTGAAGAGGATAGTTCAGAAGGTGAAGACACTGTGGATGTAAACCGGAACTACAATTAAAATATGCTTCCAGAACATTCCAATTCAGGCCTATCCTAAGGCATACTCAAGGCGCGTCAGGCCATTTCAAGGCCCCACCCAATTGAACCTTTTTGAAAAAGAGCCTCAGGCTCTGTCCTTCTAACCAAGCCAACCCGCCCACCCCTAAACTTTAGTTGCGCAGGTTCCCTTTTCCCCCCTTCTTGAGGACTATAAAAAGGCTGAAATTTTTTTGTGTAAAGGAGAGTGTGAAAAGGGATCCTAGTGAAAAAGTGATCTGAAGGGCTCCAATATCAGGTCTGGTTTATTAGAAAGATTTTTACCCTTTTGTTCTAGAATATATTTGGGCGTGCGGTCCCTTTTGTACTAACTTTAGATTATAGTTGTGTTTATATACTAACCCTCTTTGTGATTATCTATTGAACCAATTTCGTTTGTTTTATTTCTCATTTTACGGATATCTTTAGTATTTCCAGTCTTTTATATCAATACTTGTATTTTTTTTTTGATATTCAAATAAAAGGATAACTTTTCTACTTGGTGATTATTAAGAAAGATCATTTGCGAGCTTAGAAATATATTGAAAGAGATATATTAGAGAAAAGGTTTACCTTTTTATCATAGTTTTATAGAATTACTTCTTTATAAAAATAGAGCTATCACTTACAATATTTTCAAAATAAAATTTCAATATTGCAATCTTCTCAATAGGAAATTAAGTTAGAAATAAAAAGTAAAATTACAAAAATAAAGTAACCCCGGCACATTGCAGCCAGGGTTTCATTTCTAAATAAAAATCAGCTCTGCACTATTCCAATATTTGTTATATGACCAAACAATGTCAACACTAAGGGGGAGTTTCTAGATCTGAAATAATAATATTGTTTATTTTTCTTTAACTCAATTCCTTTCTGAGTTTGAATATAGCTTTTCTTACTTTTTCATTTTGTTCTTTTTAACATAGCGAATATATGTCAAGGGGCATTGCAGGGTTCATACAGAGCAATAAATGAGACAATACCAATGTCTATCTATCTTTCTATCTATCTATATATTTAAAATATCTGTCTCTGCACGTTATATATATAAATATATATATACACACAGATATAAGTCAAAGTTAGATCTATTTATCTGGTTGGATGTATCTATTTATCTTGATCGAGATAAATATTACAATATAGAAATTGAATTTTAAAAGTTTTTGGATTTTTGGATTGTGATTTTGAACTTCAAAACGCTAACTACTAGAAACCTTTGATATTTCAAAGTCAGATTATTTAATACAACAGAATCTACATAATGGAAATATTAAAGGTCTGCAACATCGGGTTGCAGAGATTTTGGGATTAGAATATCATAGTTTGTGGTAAGAACTAATTTTCTTTATCACGGACACAATTACAAATAATAAGATCGAACTCATCCGTTTGATCTGCATGCTAACCAGGTAACCCAGGACTGTTCTGTTTACAAATTGCATGCATGAAATAGATAAAAATTATATTGATTCGAAAATCAAAGTTGACATATTTTGTATTAGACGTAGACGATAAATTGTATAAATTAAGTTAGTTTTCTTACTGCAATAATTCTAGTTCACAAATACTTTTATTCTAGAAAGAAGATTACTCAATATTTTAATAATTGGCCGGGTTTCTGTAAAAATATTTGTCTCTCGTGACATAAATTAAAACATTGTTTAAAAAGATAAATTTATTTACTTTTTAACAAACAGTACAATGGGTTTCACTTGTTGGCATTACAACAGTTTCCTCTCCCTTCCACATATTACTCTGCTCCACGACCTTTTCTGCTCTGTAGCAATCCTGTCTTTTCCAGGAATCTATTCTATCCAGGAACTGCTCTGCTCTGTAGCATCCTGTCTTTTCCAGGAATCTATTCTATCCAGGAACTACTCTGCTCTGTAGCTTCCCGTCTTTTCCAGGAATCTATTCTATCCAGGAACTACTCTGCTCTGCAGCATCCTGTCTTTTCCAGGAATCTATTCTATCCAGGAACAGCTCTGCTCTGTAGCATCCTGTCTTTTCCAGGAATCTATTCTATCCAGGAACTGCTCTGATCTGCAGCATCCCGTCTTTTCCAGGAATCTATTCTATCCAGGAACTGCTATGATCTGCAGCATCCCGTCTTTTCCAGGAATCTATTCTATCCAGGAACTGCTCTGATCTGCAGAATCCTGTCTTTTCCAGGAATCTATTCTATCCGTATTGGTGTAAACTGCCCCAAAATCAAAATTTGGGTTATATGTCGATATATCCGTGCGTTTGTGCGTTATCTTTTCTTTATGTGTGTTTTCAATTGAAAAATATCAATTTATTTTGCAAAAACGTGCGTTCTTGCGCCGCGGAATATCTATCTATCTATCTATCTATCTATCTATCTATCTTTCTATCTATCTATATATCTATCTATCTTTCTATCTCTCTATCTTTCTATCTTTCTATATATCTTTCTATATCTTTCTATCTTTCTATCTATCTATAGATTCCAGAAAGAACGCATTTCAAAATTAATAACATTTGATTAACTACAATACTTTTAATATTAAGTTTAATGGACTGTCGAATTGTTAAGAGACCCTTTATTTAAAGAGAAGCTTACCCGCGATTAACAACAGGCCCTTGAAACGAATTCATCTGATTAATAATGTGGAAAAGAACGTCAAGCTTTAAAAGTGTCAAATTTTAACAACTTATCCATTGTTTTTGAAGCAAGGAATGTTCAAGTCACTTTTCTAGAGAATCCACAAATGAAAGGAATCAGCTTTTTTAATTCGAAATTGATCTACAGCTAAAGCTTTTTAAAGTACAGTTGCAGTAAATCGGACATGTCACTCTTTAACAAGGAGATCCACTGAAAATAAAATGCCCCCCCCCCCCTTAATTAGGCTAGGGGAGCACAATCAGGGGCGTATTAAGGATTTTGTCCGGGGGTGGGGGCTTAAAAATGTTGCCCAGTGCCAAAATTTTTTTGGGTTAGCCCACCCCCCTGAAACAATTGAACCCCCCCCCTGAATTGCTAAAACTAACCTAAAACAGCAGATGTTTTCTGAAAATTAACCACAATGAATTTTCTGAAAGAATTTTGACATTTTAATATTTAAAAAATAAGAAATTACAAATTTAGTTAATTTACATCACAGAATACAGATCATTATAATACTAAATATCGCATTAAGAAAATTAGATATTTAACCTTTAAAAAATAACAATAGTTTCTTCTTTAAATGTAACTCAATATAAAATGAGTTAAGTTGTGGATGCAGAACAAATTTAATTTCTCATTTATAGTTTTTACTCCAGAGTCCAGGGACCATAAACATATACTAGAGGGGGCCGGGGGATGGGGGATGCTCGCTCAGCAGTGGGAAAAGGGGGCTGTGCTAATTGGTCACTTCTTAAAGGGGGAGGGGGCTCAGCCCCCGTTGGGGGCTGAAACCCCCCTTGAAATCAAAGCCTCCACTTTTCCAGGGGGGGGCTGAGCCCCCATAGCACCCTCTTTGAATACGCCTCTGGGCATACTGTAAATTTTCCATACTTTTTAAAAATGTAATAATATGTGTTTCATATTTACTTACAACAGTTGGGGTTGCTAGGGTTTAACAAACTTTATATTTCACCTGCTACCGAACGTTCAGGCCAACACAGTTGAAACTTTAGTTAGTTCAGAGAGAGTTCTATAGTTGGTTAACGGATTTTCTTCTGTTTTGTTGTACTAGGTAGCCGCCTCAACTGTTTAAACATGGCCGCCTGACAAGTGTACACTATTATTGAAAAATAAAACGTATTTATGAAACATCCCGAATTTAATCGATTCAACCCCGAGTCTGATTGACGAAATACAATTTTTCATATTTCAGATAAAAATTGAAACTCTAATAATAGATATGTGAAGTGAACATTAAAATCTGAAAATCTACAGAAATCAAAATGGTAAGTATCTTTTACATATTTGTAAAGCATTGGGTAATTCCATAGAGACCGATTTTTAATAAGACACTTTCTGGGCTGAGCGCTGCGGCTAGGACAGACTAGGGGGCCGAGCGCTGCGGCCACATGTCTTACAAAAATGGACAGGAGGGGGGAGGGGGCGGGTCCAAAAATCGCTCTCTAGGAAATTACCCCTAATGACATGTGTAAAGTCGACCCTCTCTATAAATAAAACAAAATTTGAGTTAAAATACCCCCTTCAGAATTTAAAGTTGCACACCCGGACTTAAACTTAAGACTTTTTAAAAACTCTCTGGATAGTTCTCAAAAATGTTAAGTTGTAAATTTTTCAGGAAACGTCCTCGGTTGGTGACGAGCTGTCTGAGGAGCGGATTGTTACTCTCGTCAGTCAAAATATCAGTGTCGATGTAGAGGACGAATTACAACCTGAACAAGTTAAGGACGATTCTCAAACTGAAAATGTTCACATCGATTCTCGATCTCATTTGAACAAAAACGTTCTGCATAAGACAATCGATATTCACGCGGATTTAAACCAGGAAGAGACAAATATAGATAAATCGGTGGACATGGCGGAAATGACGGATTGTTTAAATTCGTCAGCGGAGGACGAAAAGCTCGGAGAATCGTCCACGCTGGGGTCATTAATAGAACAAGGACTATCGTCCAAATCTAAATTATTTCTTAAAACTGAAGAAGGCGTGGAACAAATTCAGGATTTAGATAAACATTCGGACCTAAAGTACGCATTGCAGGACGCCATCACTGACGCAATTGACAAAGAGGAACTTGACGCAGATCCTGCGTCAGTTAGTCAAACAGTGAGGATATCGACAGCCGTTAAAATAGAGCCTAAAGATGAGGTAAAAACAAATTTTTAAATTTCACCTCCATTTTCGATGTTTGGATTAAAAAGATAAATGGGAAATCCAGGGACAAGTTTTTAACCCTTCTTGAATCTTGATACTTTTTTCTAAAAATTCATTTTTATCCATTTCAGCGGATAAGAAAGTCCTGAAAATTAATATTCCCGCTCCGCGCAGCGGTGATTAATGTGAGAATCTCAATGGGAATTTGGTTTTTGTTTAATAAGGGAATGATTTTTCAAGCAAATACATACCCCTTAAAAATAAATTGCCTGAAAATAAAGTTTACGGATTTATGTTAGTAAATGTTGTCAGCTTGGCACCTTCAATGTTTTTTTATGTAGGGGAAATTTATTTGGCATTCAGGACAGAAAAAAATTGTAAGCTTTAGTAAAAATTGTGTTAATTTCTCACAAGGGACCGCCATTGAAAAAAATCAATTTTCCAAATTAAGAACATGGAATTCTCATGATTTTAGATCTGGTAAAACTTTAATGATACCGTTGTGAATCTGACATGCAACTCTAAATGGAGAAGGGTCGCTTGAAATGGATCACAAAATTCATATTTATATATTTTAGGTAAAGATTGAGAGACTAGCTGACAAGAAAGAATCGGTCTTACAATTGGTTGAACCGATGAAAAAAAGTGCTGAAAACAAAACTTTAAATACTAACGGACTCTCGTCTGTTCAACCTCAGAATTCAACTCCACTTCAACCTGCAGTTAAAAAAGAGGCGGCAAAAGAGAGTTCATTTTTAGTGAAAGTTGAATCTGTAGAAAAATCCACGAACAATGTTGAAAAATACTCAATTTCCACGGCGGAAAAATCCACGAATCTAGAACTAGTTCAAACTAGTTCGAGCCTACCCTCCTCCCGATCAGATCTCAACCTTGATAAGTCAGAATCCAAGAAACCCGGTGGCAAGGAAAAGACTGAAAATAAGTCAGAAAAACACAGGTGAATATAAATTTCTAAATAAGGTTTTCATCCAGTCAAGTATGTGGCTCAATAGCTCATAAATTGTTGTATATAATCGCTGGTTAAGTTTCAAAATGCCCGACATTAATAGCAACTAAAATTTTTATATTTTTTTATTTTATCGCACCATATTGTCCAGGTAAACGGTTTAGAAATTTAGAATAAAAAATTTCAAAAAATTTACTTTTTATTACCCCAGTTTTAGACGGGGGTTTCTAGTGAAAATCTTATTTTAAACTTTTTTAAAAGAATTTAACACATCATTTATTTTATAATTTTTTTATCTAAATAATCAGTTTTTTGAAACTTAACGGCTTTTTTATTGGAGGGCCGTCGAGCTAATATTTTTGGGAAACACTAACAGGATTTAGTTAAGTGCTTGATGTATACTAACCCTCCCCCACTGCTATTTTTTTATTTTTTTTAAGTCTAAACTAACATAAATACAGTGGTGCCCAGAAAAAATTTTTTTTTTGTGCTTTCTTTGTTGAAAGTCCCGGAAAGATATTTTGTGTGTTCAGGTCCCAAAAGATTGATGTGTTTATGTCCCAGAAAAGTGATATCTTATTGTTTTGGTCCCAGAAGATTGATGTGTTTGGGTTCCAGAAGAGTGATATTTTGTGTGCTCAGGTCCCAGAAAAGTGATATTTTGTGTGTTCAGGTCCCAGAAAAGTGATATTTAATGTGTTTGGCCCCAGAAGATTGATGTGTTTAGGTTCCAGAAAAATGATATTTTGTGTGCTCAGGTCCCAGAAAAGTGATATTTTGTGTGCTCAGGTCCCAAAAAAATGATATTTTGTGCGTTCAGGTCCCAGAAGAGTGATATTTTGTGTGTTTTGGTGCCAGTAGATTGATGTGATAGGTTCCAGAAGAGTGATCTCTATTGTGTGTTTAGGTCCCAGAAGAATGATCTCTATTGTATGTTTAGGTCCCAGAAGAGTGAACGAGATGAGAGGAAGAAACACTCCGAGCACCGGCACCGAGAAAGGGACAAGGATAAATATAAGAATAAGAGAACAAGTGTGGGTATACAGTGCAAGCGGGAAGATGTAGTACCCTCAAGCTTAGGTAATTTTATATATATCTATCTATTTATCTAATTATCTGTTTATTAAAGGGACTGTAAAGGAAAAATGAAAGGGGGTATAGGCTGAAAGCTAATCACTTTAGCTCTTGATCGCTACCCATGCAAGTTTGATCTGATGTTCCTTTCTCGAGAAATTGATATGAAACTGAGTTAAAATTATACCAAAGTTCATATATGTAAAATTTAGAAAATCTTAAAGTTTAATCACGTGACCAGAACTATCACCAATGGCAGAGCAGTATACTGGTCACGTGTCTCCGCCTGTATCACGTGACCACTTTACTGCACTGCCATTGGTGGAATTTCTGGTCAAGTAATACGGACGTATAAATAATATTATGAATTAAATCTATTAAAAATAGAAATAACAAATATAAAATTAGAATTGGAGTAAACCTAAGTTACAATTAGCTTTCTCTGGGATATCATCGTTTTTAGATTGGTTGCTTATTTGCTTAATTTGATCTATTTAAACCCACTACTTTTATACAAAATTGTATATATATTAATTTTCGTATAAATTTGATAAAGTTGTAAATCAATTTCTCGAGATAGGAACATCGATATAACTTTTCATGGGTCACGATCGAATGTTAAAGTGATTAGCTTTCTGCTATACCCCCTTTCATTTTTCCGTCACAGTCTCTTCAATCTATCTATCTATCAATCTTACCTTTGTATGTATGAAGTAATAATCCTATCTATTTATTTATCTTATCTATATATTTATCTATAAATCTATCCATCTTTAGACTATATATTCTTTATATCTATCTATCTAGGAGTAGGGGAAAGTAGACGAGTATGCGGGTATTCTATGGCGAACCCTTTGAATAATCTGGTCGGAGTTAAACCTTATAAATATGCTCATCTCATGTATGTTGAGGTAGGATCAATTAATCAATAAATAAATATATTATCCGTTCAAGCTATTGGTTTTTTTAATCAACCTTTTAACCAATCAATCAATCAATATATTAAATTATGCATTCTTTAAATTATGAAACTAAACATCGTATTTTAAAATTGTCGTACCTGAAGTGTTTAGAATAATTGCAATTAATGAAATAATTTTTATTACTACTCTCAATTGATGAAAATAATTGATTAATATATTCAGCGGTATCCGAATGGCGGGGGTTTAGTTCTGCACAGTTGGCAGGAGGACCTAGACAAGCTTAGCGAAGAGGAGAACAACATCTTCGCAGAGGAGTTCGTCACAGAGGTAAAAATGGAGGGGGAAACTGGAGAGGAAGAAAAGGGGGAAGAGAGAAAGAAAAAAGGAAAAAGTTGAATAAAGGGGGTAATTTATTTTTTATGCGCTGGTTTTGGCCCTCACAGGAAACTATGCAACTCAATATCTTCTCTATTGAGACACATTTTGACTTGGGATGTGCTCGTTCTGCTGCAGAAATTTATATTTCGATGGCTAAAATGTTGCGGTAGGATCTTTTTACAAAAATAATATTTATTAATATTTTCAGGCGTTTATTGAGGATGACGGGTATGCAGTTTACTGTATTGCTATTGTACATGACGCGGCTAGAGGTAAAGTTTTTCTCAATTTTGAGGCAAAGTCAAAATTTTTACTTTATCTTGACTTTTTTGTCTGTAATTATTTAGGATTATGTGAACGATCCTTGAAATTGTTGTGGAATATTTAAACAATCCCTTCAAATGTTTAGGAATATTTAAACAATCCCTTCAAATGTTTAGGAATTTTTAAACAATCCCTTTAAATGTTTAGGAATATTTAAACGATCCCTGAAATTGTTAAGTATTATTTAAATAATCCTTTATTTTTTAGAAATATTTTAACAATCCCTTATTGTTTATGAAGATTTAAACATTCCCTTTAATTGTTTAGGAATATATAAACAATCCCTGAAATTGTTAAGTATTATTTAAACAATACCTTTAATTGTTTATGAAGATTTAAACAATCCCTTTAATTGTTTAGGAATATTTAAACATTCCCTTTAATTGTTAAGGAATATTTAAACAATCCCTTTAATTGTTTAGGAATATTTAAACATTCCCGTTAATTGTTAAGGAATATTTAAACATTCCCGTTAATTGTTAAGGAATATTTAAACAAACTCTTAAATTTTTTAGGAATATTTAAACAATACCTTTAATTGTTCAGAATATCTAAACAATCCCTTTAATTGTTTATGAAGATGTAAACATTCCCTTTAATTGTTTAGGTTTATGTAAACAATACCTTTAATAGTTAAGGAATATATAAACAATCCCTTTATTTAGGATTACCTGATTTCTTGGAGTATTTGACTGACCAGCACTGTAACCTACCGGTCAAGCATAGTATTATTGGGCATGCCCGGGAGCTGGAGACTACCTCTATATCGGTCAGTTTGCCCCCTGCCCCCCCCCTCTCCTCCTCAAAGAATGTAAACACATTCACTCTTCCTTAAAGGACTGTAAACATAATTTCACTACACTACATTTATAAAGTAAAATGTTTGATTCAACATGTTTCTTGAAGTTGATGGCTTTCTCTGATTAATAATGAATAAGATATCTACCATCTTCTTTAAAAGTTGATTAGTTTCATAATTGTGGTTTTTCTTAATTATATCTTCCACATTATTGATCAGATAAGTGTTTAAAGGGTAGCTTCGTGAATCCGACATGCCCTTTTTTAATGGAATTTACAGTCTCTTTAAGGATAGATTGATTTATATTTTAGTTGAAACAACCTGAACACTTGTAAGACTATTTCCTGTTTAGGCTTACCGAGAGAAGGTTAGAGACAACTATAAAAATGGAACCTTCAGGTAAAAATGGCTGAGTACGTGAATCTAAAAATTGTGAAAGTTTAAATGATACCTGTTTTAACACAACATTTTCTCCCTCAAAAGCTACTGTGAATCTTATATATATATATATATATATATATATATAGCGCAAGGAAAAAATATGTATGAATCTGTGTATGCCTGTCTGACGTCTGTACTACCCAGTACCATGTAAGAACATGAGACATGTAACTTCCCAAAAAGTGCAATTTTGCAGAAAAACAAATCAATTTTATTTTTTGAAATTTGAAATGATTTATTTCTAGGTTTGGCTACCTGGATAACCTGAGTCTGGTTGGAACTGCTGCAGAGGAGAGCGGAGGATACTTCCCAGATATCCTGGATATGTTGGAGGAGATACCTATACTAAACCTGGTGAGTTTATAAATGATAAGTGATATTTTGCATTTGACATATGATATTTCGATATGGTAAATGATAAAAGCTTTAAAATTCGGTGATGGTGATGGACCAAACCGTTGCAGAGTAAAAAGAGTAGATGCCAGTTCCACATTTATTAAAAATATATTTCGGTCTGGGTTGACCCTCGTCAGTTCTAACGATATAATAACCATTAAAATCGATAAAAAATTTTTTTTTAAATTTGTAAAAAATCACAAGAAAATAAACAAACAAAAAAGAATATTCAAAATAAAAATTTGGGCTGTCAAATGGACATAAGGGAAACGTACTCAGATTATGAAATGGATAAAAGATAATTTGCAAATATTCACTTTAAAAAAATGTCTTAGGACAATTATTATTCCTTGAGATTGTTTCTGTCACAAAGATTAATAACAAACTGTTAAGATGTATGTGTATAGAGTGGTGGTGGGGGTCGATTTAATTAACGAACTTTGTCGTAAACCGGGAGGATGGGGAGGGGGGGACGGCTTGTTTAAGGAGGGGTATTATAACCTTTTAAAAGCTTTATAATACACGATAAACAATAAATTATATGCAAAACACGATTCACGATATTGAGACATGATACACGACACACGAAACTTAAGATATGATAATAAAAAATTTAGACTATGCCCTGGGGAACTCGGAGTCTACTAGAGGAAACTCCCAGGAATAAATCCAATGATGGTCCTATACTCTGGATACGACCTGGAGAACAATCTATACCAACAGGTTTATTTTATATTCAGTCATTCATTCTCTCATCCATACTTTCAAACTTCCTTCTATGAATTCATCCCATTCATTTATTCATCCAGTCATTTATCTTGTCATTCTTCTGTTAAATTTTTCTTATGCACTTCCTCAATCAAAAAAGAATTTTCTTATTTTAATTTTTAATTCAAATTATTTAAAATCTTAAGTTTAGTTCGATTGATTGATTTATTAATTGATCGATGATTAGGAGAGCTAGGGAAGTGTGTTGAGTACTTGATTGATTGATTGATTGATTGATTGATTGATTAGGCGAGCTAGAGAAGAGTCCACTGAAGAGAAGACGGAATAATTAGATATATGACTGATTGATGGATTGATTAATGATTGATTGATTGATTAATTAATTAATTAATTAATGATTGATCGATTGATTAGGTGAGCTAGGGAAGAGTCCACTAGAGAGAAGACGTAATAATTAGATTAACGATTGATTGATTGATTGATTGATTGATTGATTGATTGATTGATTGATTGATTATGTGAGCTGCGGAAGAGAAGTTGGAATAATTAGATTAATGATTGATTGATTTAATAATGATTGATTAACTAACGAGTGAGTGATCAAAGGTGAGCTAGGGCAAAGTCCACCGAAGAGAAGACGTAATAATCAGACGTAATAATCAATAATTATTGATTGATCGATTAATTAATAATTGATTTACTTATGATTGATTGATTGTCTAATGATTAATTGATCGAAGGTGAGCTAGGGCAGAGTCCACTGAAGAGAAGACGAAAAAATCAGATAATTGATTGATTGATTGATTAATCAATTAATGATTTATTGATTAAGTAATGATTTATTGATTAAGTAATGATTTATTGATTAAGTAATGATTTATTGATTAAGTAATGATTTATTGATTATGTAATGATTTATTGATTATGTAATGATTTATTGATTATGTAATGATTTATTGATTATGTAATGATTTATTGATTATGTAATGATTGATTGATTGAAGGTGAGCTAGGGAAGAGTCCACTAAAGAGAAGACGGAATAATCAGATTAATGAACTAAAGAGCCTTAAGTACCTGCCCAGATCTACAGTGGAGAGAGAGGTACACAGACAGATAGACACATGGTCGGATAGACAGATGGAAAATTGACGATAGATGGATAGACGCTTTACCAAATTGACAGATTGACGCCTTAACAGATTGATATCTAATGGCAGATTGACCGAATTACACAATGACTGAGTGACAGTGACAGATTGACAGATAGACAAATACGGATACACAAAATGACGAATGTAGATTGTACACACAAAGAAATCAATTTAAATAAAATATGTGTTTAGGTCATTTTTGAGGATCGAACTCCGGCCCACGCGGACCATGTTGGGTTTGGTCCCGACAGAATGACGACCGGTGCTGTTGGTAAATATTCTTTATTCTTTATTTAACATTTTTAAGATTTTAGATTATTTTTCAATCCTTCTTTGACTTCTACGGTATAAGGGTAGACCGTTTGCTTGTTTGGGTATTTGGGTTTTTGGTAGTTAATTTCCTATATTATAATCAACTCTAGTATTTATTTGATCACTGTTCAGGATTATTAAAAGCAATCCACTGCGGGGAAACTGTGGAATTCAACAGAATAACAAAGGTAAGTTCATCTTATATTTAAGTCAATATTAATTTTAATTCTGAAATAAAATTGACAAGTCCATCAGTATTCGCCAACACTAAAATTTCCCCCACCCATAGTATTCCGGTTCCCACGCCAATTAAACTACAAACAAATTACACTACAAACTGTGGCCACTTAAACCTCCGCCTCCACAGTATTTACCGCCACTTCAACCTCCACCTCCACAGTATTTACCGCCACTTTAACCTCCACTTCCACAGTACTTTTCGACACTTGAACCTCTGCCTCCACAGTATTTTTCGACACTTGAACCTCCGCCTCCACAGTATTTTTCAACACTTGTACCTCCGCCTCCACAGTATTTTTCAACACTTGAACCTCCGCCTCCACAATATTTACCGCCACATAAACCTTTGCTTCCGCAATATTCGTCAAAACTGCGTTATTCGCCACTAACATCTTCTGCCGTTCAAATCAATTTTGTTAATGTTAATTTTAATCCTAGGACACTGTTATATTTAATGCATCTGATTTCCTTCACCTGACTGAGAAACTACAACTAGATCTTCATGAACCTCCGATGTCCCAGGTATAATTAATTGTTGTAATAGAGGGGTGTTTATTTTTGTGAAAAGCATTTCTTCCTCAGATATTAGGTATGTTTGCATAGAACACATTTTTTTATTGGGTTCTATTCACTTTATCGGGGTTAAATTTTGGAGAAAGCAGATGCTTTTTGGTGAAAAGCATCAACAAGGATGAAAATCATGCCTTTTGATATTCAATTTTTCTTGAACAATGATCATAATTACTTATTATGTTAGTCGTGCTATTTAAACAAAACCATTAAACAAAATAGGTTCATAGCTCGTCTAAATCAAGTAATACTTAAGAAAAAAGGAAAAATTCGCCAAATGTGTCTAGCTATATTGTTAAACCTTAGGTCTAACTAAATGATTCATAGTGGGGGTTGAAAAATGTTTATTGGTTAAAACTTGTTACGGAATATATAGGAGCGTTTTTACTTTCTGTGGGGGGATTTAGGGAGCTTCTCAACTGCTGGAATTGATGAGTCTTCAGAACACGGAGCAGTCTGGAGCAGAACTGTAGAATGCTGCTTCTGTAGGGAACTGCTTTAAGCTGTAGGTGTAGATGAACCTTAAGAGCTGTCTGGAGCAGAACTGTAGAATGCTGCTTCTGTAGGGAACTGCTTTAAGCTGTAGGTGTAGATGAACTTTCTGGTCCAGGACTTGGTCCGAAAATGATCATTCTATTCTGATTTTAGAATATCTATAAAATCCCCTTTTGATGGTACAGAGTTGGTTTAGAACTCCGGAGCTGCTGGAAGATTAGCTACAACTGATAATATCATCTTTCCAAGATTTCAACGTTAGGTTTAAGGCGTAACCTTAACCTTGAGTCTATACTTAAAAATACACAGTGCTCACAGGATGTTCACAAAAAATACAAACATATAAATACATTTTAACTATTCATAAAAGCACAAATATCAATTCTTAAAGAATCTGTTACATTCGTTTGTGAATTTTACAAAAAGGAGTTTTAGTTTATGTAAACACCCAGCAGAGTTCCAATATACAGAAATAATTGATTCCAACCATGATCTGACATTCTTTGTTAAAAATATGCACTTTGAACTCCGTTACAATATATTTCTAATTTGTACGAAGAAGACAGGCCAGCAGTTTATTACTATACATAAAGGCACAAAGCGCTAGTTGAGCCTAGTTTTACCGTATTTTACCATATTTTAATATTACCGACATTTTATTTGTCAAATCTCCAGCTTGATATAGTGTTGGAGTTAACTCAATCTTCTATATGTTTATATAATAATATATATATTCAGTGTCCTGTCTGGATTGATGAGGGAAAACTAAACCAACTTCATCGAGATGGTGTCAGATACGCCAGGAACAAAATACCATCTTTTATTTAATTTTCAAGGGACTGCCGTTTTAGTTTCAAATGACCTCTCATTTAGAAAAGGGGGATATTTCTGATTCACAGACTTGTCTGACCAAGATTTCCATCATGCATTTTTTCTTTCAAATTTGATTATTTTTAATTGTGGTTACTCTATAAATTGACTTGCGCATTTCTGCTTCAGAAGCAATGATCAATGAAAATTTATTTGATCATTGCTGTGAAAAATGAAACATATTATGTTTCTATTTCCAACTTGTAATGAAGTATTTTGTTTGGTCAGGGTTCCCCTGTCAGACAATGATATTTATTTTCTACCAAGAAATATTATTCATCAGTTCAGGACTGTTACTGCTACTACAAGTATAGGTAGGATCAATCAATCAATTGATCAATAAATGTTGAAATTGCACCGATTGGGTTCCTTACTTTGTGAGCTAACGACAGGGGTATTTATTTCCTAATAACCCCCCCCCCCCTTCAAAGAAAAATATTTCATTGCAATAGAATCCTGATCATTAGGTTACCCCAAAAAAGACCAAGTTGGGATATTTGTATGATGCAGACCGGAATGATGTGACATTTAGTCAAACAAATTCGAGGAATTTTTTTTTGGAGATCGGACCACTTATACCATCTGACATACTTTTCAGAAATATGCATTTAGAGTCTACATGGCTGAAAAAAAATATTTCTTGAATTTTTTAGCTATTTAGATCGACTCAACGTGCATATTTCTGAAAAGTATATCAGACGTTAAAAGTGGTCCGATCTTAAGACTTTTTTCCCCTGAATTTGTATTAATGTCACTTCATCCCGGTCTGTATCATACAAATATCCAAACTTGGTCTTTTTTGGGGTACCATACTATTCATTTATTTCCAGGTTTTTCTAGAATTATAATTCCGTAACTGTCTTCTTATGAAAATTTGATTTTAACAATTAATATTTGAATTTAATTTTTTAATATCTCATTTCATTTCCAGCATGGCATGTTAGATTAAAGCAGTACTACACAACGCCTTTAGATACTGAACTTACACCAACCAAACTTCAGGTAAAATCTCAGGTAGAAAGATTGACAGTGATGATTATTATTATTATTATTATATCCAGTAGTTAATTTAATCTGCTAAACCACTGTTGATGCGGATAATGAGTTCTGAAGAGATTAACGGTACAAAAAATTTGATCTTAAATCTTCTATATTGAGGATAACTTTTAAGCACTTCTGTACAAGTACTATAACAGCTGTCAAAAATTGCCAGCTAATCCATATATGAGCCCCGCTATCTAGAAATTCTTCTGGACCCTCCCCCTTGAAAAATAGCAACCTTTTGTGATTATACTATTCCAGGTTAGTTTAGGATCAGATAGGATAGTCACGGTTGCTTTTTTTTCAGAAGTAGGGGGCGGGGACTCCACGACTCATTTATTAAGAAATCATTAAAATATATTTCAAGGTTCCTGAGAGATTAGATGTACAGGGTTCAGGTTCAGGTTCAGAGAAGTAGAGGGGCGAGGACTCCACAACACATTTATTAAGAAATCATTAAAATATATTTCTAGGTTCCTGAGAGATATGATGTACAGGGTTCAGGTTCAGGTTCAGAGAAGTAGAGGGGCGAGGACTCCACAACACATTTATTAAGAAATCCTTAAAATATATTTCTAGGTTCCTGAGAGATTAGATGTACAGGGTTCAGGTTCAGGTTCAGAGAAGGAGAATTCCTCAAGGTAAATACAAATTCACTTTTAACAACACTTTACAATGTTTTTTTTCTTTGCAAATTTGTATTTAGAACCCCTATTTAACATTTAACTTTGGCGAATTTTTCTATGATTTCCTATTAGTATTGTAAAGATTCCCCCCCCCCCCTCAATTTGGTGGAATTTTTGCCTTTTTGATTCGACTCCGTATTGCGTGCATTGGTAACTGGATTCTGAGCCTTGCGTTGAATTTATTATGTCTATTTATCATGCATAAATGGTCCCCTGTTAACATGTCGTTGTATCTGATATCGTTAAAATCCCCTTAAAACATGATTTCAAGGTAGAGAACCTTCAGATCGTCATATTTAAAGCGTTTGCGGATCTTTTTACCTTTTGAGTTCTATGTCAAACTTAACTTTATACCTACATATATGTGTAGTGTGTATCCATCATTCTATGTCCCCATCTATCTATACATACATCTGTATCTCTCTATCTATCTATCTATCTATCTATCTAGACTAGAGAGGAAACGACGTCGCGTAGGATCTGAATCTGATGTAGAAGATCCAGAATATGTTCCCAGTAAAATATTTAGACCAGAGACAGGTTAGTCCATCCTTCTGATTATCAATCAATCAATGAATCAATGAATTGATTTATCAATCTTTAAATTAAGCAATCAATTAATCAAAATATTTGAAAATTAATCTCCAATAAATTCAATCAATCAATAAACCAATTAATAATTCAATCAACAAATCAATTAGTCATATAAGCAAGAAAATCAATTAATATAAATATTACCCGAGATATGACTAATATAGCCATCGAACATTCAATAAATCAACAAAGCAACCTAGGAATCAATAGATAAATAATACATTCAATCATTTTTTTAAAATCATTTTTAAAAATTCATGTTATAATTTTTAATGCGTTTTTACCAAACTTCTGAAAGCTACAAATCAAAAAACATGAGTATTTGTTTGAATTTAATCCGCAAGATTTAAAATTTAAATAAAATTTGATTCAATCATTTTTGTACATTTTTTTCAGTATTTGGTACATGATGTTATCAAAATATTTAATCCATAAAATTTTTCTCATTTTATATTTTTCAAGAAACATTTTGATCCCTTCGAAAAAAAGATTCCGTTGATATTTTTGTAATCGCTGTTCCCTGGATACAATTCTTTTAATATATTTTTTCTAACTTCAGGAAAACCTAAATCTGAAAGTACAAAAGTTGAGAAGGAGAAGTGCAAAGAGAAAAAGGAGAAGGACAAGCAAAAAAAGGAAAAGAAGAAGCATAAAGAGAAGGACAGGGGGAAGGATGGGGGGAAGCGGGAGAAGGAAAGGAAGCTGGAAAAGGGTGAGAAAAAGAAGGATAGTAAGCTACTGATTGGAGAGAAGGCAAGAGAAGGAAAATCTCATCTTAGTTTTAAACTAGGAGAAAAACAAGCCAGCAAGGTAATTTCAATTTACCTTTAATTGTTAATTTCGTAGATCTTCAGATTAACAAGAAAATACAATAAACTTCCGATAAATCAAATAACTACTATTTTTACTTTTCTTTTTTAATTTGGGTTTCAATACAGGGTTGTTTATTGATTTTTTAGATTTACATGATTTTTGATGATGGGGGGGGGGGGGGTTGAAAGATTGGACATCAAATGGCGCTTTTTTATTCTTTTTGGTACTTTTCCCCCAGAAATTTATTGAGTTTTCCCTAAAATCAATTATTTTTCCCAATTCAGCGAATAAAAACCATTGAAATAATCCGTTCCGCGCAAGCATAAATAATTTGTGTGGGAAAAAAATTCTGGATGGGGGGTGGGGCAAAAAATGATTTTTGAGCAAATAAATCCCCCTGTTTTAATACAAGATATTTAATGCTATCCGAACTTTAAAAACTTTAATTTTAATCTCCAAAATACAAGTCCGTTGCAAAAACATCCTATTTAGTCAAATTTCCTATAACAAAAAGGCATTTTTTTAATACTCTAGACGTTAATAACAATGATTACTTTTTGTAATATAAATCTGATGTATAAACCCTGTTTCAGTCGAAACTGGTCACTGACAATTCTTCGGAGAGTATCAAGAATATTCTGTCAGCTGGGAGGGAATGCATAAAACCCACCGGCGAGGTCCGCGCTAAACAAGATCTTGAGAAAGCCAAGTTTGAGCCGCTGGCAGCCCGGCTGGCGAAATCTAAACTGGAGCCGCTCGCCGCCCGGATGGAGATAGCCAAGTTGGAGCCGCTGGCTGCTCGGCTGGAGACTGAAAAGCGGCGTCCAGAAACTGTTCCGTCAGAACGAAGAAAGAGTATTGATATTATTTATGAGAGTGAACATAAACCTGATCCAACTATACCTCAACCTAGGTAAATACTAATTATATAAATGCTACAGGGTTACCACCAACTATACTCAACCTAGGTAAATACTAACTATATCCAATGCTACAGGGTTACCACCAACTATACTTAACCTAGGTAAATACTAATTATATTCAATGCTACAGGGTTACCACCAACTATACCTCAACCTAGGTAAATACTAACTATATCCAATGCTACAGGGTTACCACCAACTATACTCAACCTAGGTAAATACTAATTATATTCAATGCTACAGGGTTACCACCAACTATACCTCAACCTAGGTAAATACTAACTATATCCAATGCTACAGGGTTACCACCAACGGATTAGACTATGAAGACGACCTGAAATTTTAAAAGTCAAATTTCAAGTCTTCTGCCATAAACAAAAAACATAGACTTGTATATGATTGAATTGATGATTTGGCCAAGGAAGAAACAAGTTTACAGTTGCGAATAATCATGAATATAAAGAAAAAAGGCAAACAGGATAAATTCCGTATAGTCGTCTTTGAAGTCTCATCATGCTATGTTTATAGAATGGGCGAATGGCGGATTCAACAAGGTAGTCCTAAAATAAAAATGTACATACATAATATTTTTTTCCAATTGCTTATTAAGAATTCAGTGCTCATCATCCATTTAATTTTGGTGTGGATCTGGATCTAGGTCATCAACATTAAGGAATTTTTTTAAGTAAGCAGAATTGAAAATTATCTTTCTTTTTTATTGCTTATTTTTATGCCAAGAAGTAGATAAACCATTCAGAGATCTAGAAACTGTTATAATCTTTTTATGTACAGTTCAGATTTGTGTTTTTTAGGTTTGGGGGAAGCCAAAAGTTTGCGTTTCTAACTGATAAAGCACTGATTAAGATTCCATTTTTTAAGTAATATTGTAATTGAACAATAATTTTTTTTATTTTTTTAGATCTGGCGCACGAGTTGATGAACGCGTAAACATGTCCCGACTCTTCCCGGGTAAACTGTGTGCAAAGAACCAAACCAAACCTACATCTGCGTCTAAATCAGAAAACGCGGGAAAACCAGAAAGTACAAAATCCAAGATGGACGGTGTCAAGAGAAATTTAAGCTTTTTAAATACCAGTGTTTGTCCGCCCGTCCCACCTGGGGGATTTGATATCCTTGGTAATATTATGTCGGGTATGGGTAATAATATTAAAAAGGATTAAAGTTTGTCATTTGTTGGTTGTATTTTAGACGAGACTGAACTAAGTACAAATACCAACAACATTTCTTCAATGCTATCTTTGAATTTTCTTCTCTGTACACACTTCATTGGTATAAAATTTGCTGAACATCATCAATTCCACAGTTAGTTACTAAATAAATGAACTGTCCAGTTGATGCCCAAGTTTTTATTTTTTCTCNTGACACTTACACACGTAGTATTAAATACTTTATCATTTCATATATGGGAATAAACTCTCTTATTTTTACTAGATCACATTTTATGAATTTACTCTTAATTATTAATAATTGTTCATCAAGTTTTTCAGTTAAATTCACCGTCCTTTCACTTTGGAAAATTATATCATGTAATACAGTGAGACCTAGGAAACTGTATAATTGTAAAACTAATATTAGATTAGATTTGTGATTTTTCAATGAATTTTGCAGTGTAAAACTGCTACTGGTAAAAAAACATAAAATACATAAATTATTACTCAAATTTCTTCTTCCAGTTTTATGGGTCTTACTTTATATTATATCACGAGTATCCTACTCCATTTTAACTTCTTGTAGGGAAGAAATTTAAACACATAATAATATTTGATCCTATGAATTGTATTTTTTGTCAAGTAGTTTAATGTACATGTAATGTGGTTATCATGCGTGAGCCTGTTCTAAGTGTCGTATTCTTGCGAAATAAATAATAGATTTGCATTTCTTTTATACTAAGCTATTCTAATTTCGTAGAATTTTACAGACTTAACTGCACCCTGAAGGTATATCAGTTCCCGTAAATATGGGCGGTGGTCAGCGCGCACTATTGATTCAAATACTTATTATTTTTTGCATAGCGCAAATTTTATTTTATGGTTTTATTCGCTGAATTAGTAGAAAGAAATGATTTTTAGAAGAAATTTTATCAAGGTTTTGGTATAAAGTTTGAAAAAGTACGAAAAAAACTTGACTTTCATTTTTTTTTTCTAGATCTTTCTAAATCATTCAATCTTAAAGAATTCAGAGGATCCAAACTCATTTCTTTTCAGTCCGGATCCAGAACTCATATCGAAATCAGATGAATCCTCAGCGCTGATGCAGTCGGCAGCCTTCAGTCTTGATTGTTTATCTACGAGTTTTTAATTGCTAATTTCTTAGTCGTGCTACCATAGATACAACCATAGTCACACTATGGTTAGAGTCTACCAGAGCAGTGTAGATAGAAAGAAACGAGCTATGGTAGTACGATTAAGAAATTGGCCATTTGCAACAGTTTTTCCTGGAAAATGATGTTTTAAAGAATCGCGGAGACGTGATTTTACGCGACCCAACATTTCTAGAGATGCATGTCTGATTCACAGCGTCACCCTCAAAAACTTTATTTGATCAGGAATGAATATACATAATTTCTCAAAAATTAAATCCATTCCATGAAATAAAAAAGGTTGTTATCTTCCACGTTAACAATCAAAAAGAAGTTAAAAGGGTATCATTGTCAATTGGATTTGTCCCTCTTAAAGGGTCACTTAAAATTAAGTCTACAATCCCCTTAAAAACAGCTCGCTTAACCCTATTCCTGCTTGGGGGAGGGGGGTCAATTTGAACCCCCCCTGTTGTAATGGTCTGCTGTTGAAATTTTTTAACTTTTTCTAAATACCCAAAGCCCTTCCTTTAGGTCTAAAACTTGGCTTGTATAATAACTGACTGAGTTCTCAGGCACACTGCCTGAATGACTACTTTTTCCTGTAACAAACTAAATCTTTGTTTTGACCCACTTTCAGTTGTCAGATTTGATAATTTTTAGCCAAAAATTGCAACAGATTTTCAAAGAAGTTTTCGCAAATTATTTGCAACCAACCCGTAAAAAGAAATTTGCACATTTTTAGTCTTTCTTGACCACATGGGTTATTTAAAATTTTTGCATATTAGAAATTTGCACATTTTCACTATATAACTGGATTTTGCAAAAAAAAGATTGCAAATTTGCTAATTTTTTGCAGATTCTAATTGTAAAGCATAAGAGCTTTCCAATGATTTATCATTTGTCATATTTGGACATCGAACATGGGATTTATAGCGAGGGGTCAATTTGACCCCCCCCCCCAGTGAATCCTGGTTTTGAAGTACCTCAGCAGGGATAGGGTTAAGATTTGATTTATTAATAATGAAAATATTCCTAGCTTCTGATTTCTTCCCTGGATGGATTTTAGGAATTAAATAAAACAAATTGCCAAACCAAAAAATTCTCTTAGTTTTTTTACAGCCCATTTTTGGGACCTTAAAATCCAAAACATTTATTTAATAAAAGTTTATGTCAACAAATTTATGATCGAGATTCACAAAATGTGATCCCTGTACCAAAATTGTTAAAAAAACAATCTTTTAAAAATCACAAATCAAAAATAAATCAAAAATAGATCGTTATTTGTATAAACTTAAAAGTGCTCCAATGATTTATTTATAATATGCGAGTTAAAAATGTTTGACATAATGTTAGCAGAGCTGAATACCCAGAAACTCAAGAACGTCACACAAGCAGTGTCCACAATCTGTTGCTGCAAGGATATCTTCAATACAAGTCATGATGTCGAAAGCATCAAAACAGTCACCCCAGGCAGCTAAATAATTTCATTTTTATTGTTTTATTTCTTCCATATTTGATTTTATTACTTACAGGGTGTCCCAAAAAACATGGGAATTTAGTGACAAATTGTATATCGTCTTTGCTATGAATTAGCATTGTAATACCTAATTTCAAAAGCCATAATATTATTATGTCTGCTAGAGTTTATTTTATGAAAAGGGTAAAAGACTGTAAAGATGTGTCTATAATGTCTCTGCAAGATGAATAGTGAAGACGGACAAGTTTACTTTGTTTGTATACTGCAATTTTCTTGTTTTACTAAGTACAACTGTATGCAGTCAAAACATTAACAAACAAAATGTGAACATAGCAGACAAAACTCTTATACAGATTACAGCTTTCTCAGTTGGTATCACTAAACTAAATCAAAGAATTATTTAAAAAAACGATATCGAATTCGTCACTGAATTCCCATGTTTTTTGGGACACCCTGTATCTTATCTTCTCAAGTAGTAGTTCTTGGACTTATTTTCTAGATTCAAAACAGATATTGACAATCATCAAATCATCAAGAACTGGACTTTTTGTTTTTCCTTTCTAGGCTTGGATTGAGAAAATAAAAAACTCTTAAACAAAAGAACCATGCAGATTTGGCCCGGCAGGCTCTTTAGTGCTATTTTGGAATAACGTTCCCTGAAATGGAAGAACTCACTTTCAATCTCTCCAACACAGGCAATGAGTTCCAAATTTGAGCACATGGGTACAGGCTTCAGGTGAGTCAGCTTTCTAGACAATAGGCTGGTGTAAACATAGTGAAATTTTGAAAAATAACCTTTAATGGAAAAAAAACACAGAAAATCTAAAAAAAATCTATTTTAGCAAGCAATTCTGCTTTGAATGTTGCCATCAGTATACACTTTACAGTAAAGACAATTAAAAAATGTTATAAATATCTAATTTATACTCCAAACAATAACATTTATAGTCAAATTAAAAGGCTACTTGTGTTAGAAATCTCTAATTTCTATACCCAACAAGTCAAATAATGTTTAAAACGTTAGATAATGTTGATTCCGGGTTGTACAATGTACATTAATGTTAATCAACGTCAGACTTTTACATGACAGCAACGTTACTTGGTTTGTAGGGTAAATATAAAGATCTTGATATTTACTTGTATTTTGTAGCCTCTGTAAACACCACACATGCTAGAAGCAACACAACAACAAATTTAGCCAGCATTTTGATTTTTTTAGTTTGCAAGTGTATCCTAAAACACAATTGATAATGAAACTTTGTTCGCAAATTCTTAAATACCTTTTCTTATCTTGCTTGTTAGTACTTTTAATTAGTGCGTCAATATTAATATCATGTCATATTGTTTGTGCATCACTAATCACATGAATTAAACTGCAAACAATGTAAAAACAATTTTTCCTGCAAAATTCAATGTTTCATTTTTTGAAATTTTTTAAGATAATATTTATTTTTTAAATGTAATATACTAGGCTTTTAGGGCGCTTTGTGCCCATCTTTTATTTCATTTGTTAACATTCTCCTCATTAATTAATTACACAGGGGCTCTCCTTGTTAATAAATAACATGGGGGTTCTCCTTGTTAATAAATAACATGGGGGTTCTCCTGGTTAATAAATAACATGGGGGGTTTCCTTCCTTGTTATTAAATAACATGGGGCAAGAAAATTATAAACCAAAGAGTTGGAGCCTTGAAAAATGCAGATACAGATAAAGGAAAGTTAAAGATGCACAGTACACACTTGAAAGAAACTAATCAATGTGAATCTTTTATGAAAATTGCGGGTCACTTGATCGAGATTTCATCTACATGAAGACATATTATTTTATGTTAAAAGTTATAGGATATAAAAATATCATTACGAATGTAACAAATCCGCTTCAAATCTTACAAAGATGGCAAAATATAACTGACTATTCTAATAATTTTGTTATTTAAAATGTAATTCATGACAGGGGGAATTTGTGAATAGCAAAAACAGTTTTTGATGTTTTACTTTTTAAGATTTGGAGCAGATTTGACCTAACAAGTTTTCGCGGATTTTTTGTCAATAAATTTTGGAACAGAAGATTAAGAATATTTTCAGTTATTTTCCGAATAAAAAATATTTTTTACAAAAAGAAATATCTTACGGATTTTATTCTATGAATCAAAATGTTTTCTACATTTTGATAATTACTTTTTAATTTGTAGGCCTAAAACATGAACACTACAACAACAAAAATTAGTGTTCTGTAAAACAACATTATTTGAAACTTAAAAATAAAATTAAACTTTAATTTGGGAATAATTTAGATTTTGTTTTTGCGATGTATTAATTAACAAAATGTAAAATTATATTTTCAAACAGATTATATGACGAGTTAAAACATACAGTCAAAGAATGCATAATAACAGTTCTAAGAAATTCAAAACTTAAGTTAAACTTTTTAAAGATCTGTAAATCCTGAGTTTAAGCTCAAATTCGACGTTCAAAACTCCTACTTTGGGGGTAGATACGTTTTCAGAATCGGCTTTTTTTTAATCATCAAGTAACGACGACAAAATGTAAAAAAATTATACAATAAACTACAGAAGTCATGTACAGGAACATGTTGAGAAAATAGAAATTAATCTTATCATCGAAAATAAGTAATCTTGTTCAATTATTAGTTTATAATTTCTCATTATTCACAAAGATTTTCACAGATTTTCTAGAATTATTATTGAAAAGACGACATTTGAAGAATTTGAAGAAATTCAATATAATAATGAAAACGAAATAATCGATTTTAGCATTATTCATTAACAAGTTTCTTTTGAGAAATATGTTCCTGACCATCTAATTAGATTACTGTATAATTTTTACTTTATTTTTCGTTGTCGTTATTTAATAATTAAAAAAAAAACTAATTCTGAAAACGTATCCACCCCCAAAGTAAGAGTTTTGAACGTCGAATTTGCGCTCAAACTCAGGATTTACAGATCTTTAAAAAGTTGAATAGGTCTTAAATGAATCTGGAAGAAGTTTTCCACAACACTGCATACTCAGTTCAACAACCTTGCATAGCCGGTCACTCCCTTCAAAATTATTACTTTAAACTTGTGGTTTCTCTTAAAAGTGATTTGCGGGTTTTATAGAGACAAAGAAAAAAGGGAAGGAATATAAGCATGAAAGAATGTGTTTGAAAGGAAAAGAATAAACGTTGGAAAGTAAAACAGAATAAAGAATAATAAATAAAATGATAAACAATGTTATGGAAAGGATAAAACTGATAACTTTTAAATGGTAGGATTGAGATAAACTCATTCTCTCTCTCCACAGAGATCAACTGATCTTAAATTGGTTTAATCCCAATATTTTGAGGTTCATGAAACCTATACAAACTACATTTGGATGAGTTTGACTTTTTCTTCCATTTAAAATTAAAAATTTAAATTATATCAGTAAAAGCTGGAACACTTTTAATATATTTTACAGAAAAGTTAGATAGTAACTATGTAAATCAAATAAACAACAAAGAGATACATTGACGAATTTGAAAATTTATGATTGATTTAAAACTAAGAAATTGTAAATATAGATCACTAATTTGATTGAATGATGAATTATATGATTAGACTGATTAAACACAATAATAATTGATTGATTTGATTTTATATGTGACTGATTGATTTAATATGTGACGGATTGATCAATAAATCATATAATAAATTGATTAACTACATTACTGGTTACGAAATCATACTATAAATTGATTAAATATGTGATTGATTGATTAAAAGCATCCCAGCACAGAGATCTCCTTGAACCCATTGTTGATTGTTCCGTAAACCTGGCAGAAAAGTCAGATCAGCCTCTTTAATATCATTTTATTTGTATTTTATTTAAGGTACTGTTCGAGGAAATTTCAAATTCAAATTTTAACTCTGAGAGAAAAAAAGAACAAAAACCACCTTTTTTTTTTATTCCTCCATATTTTCTCCTAGGATAAGAATATTGCAAAGTTATTAAAACCAAACTTTAACAGTTTCCAAATATTTGAAGTTTTCTTAAAGTTGTTTTAAAAATCCAAAATGATTAACAAACCTGGACATGATACCCTTTAAACCTTTATCTAATCCAAGGATTTAATGCCAGGAAAGTTATTTCAGAAGTGTACGCATGTTTTGTACTGCAGTGTACTGTCACTATGCATTAACGTAAACACAAGACGGATGTCGAAGCCTGAAATGGGATCCATCTTTCACATAAATAATCACTGAAATATTCTGGTCATAGGAAACTATTATGTAAATTATCAAAATTATTAAAATGCAATGCTTTTAACCTCCTCCGGATACTAAACGAACACTGATGTATCTATTCTTGTAAACAAATTCCGCCCAGTGAGAACTACTTTCAATATGTACGCAGAGTATACGCAACTGCAATTAACTTTCCTTGCATTACATTCTTGATAATCTTGGGGGATATTCTGTTTTTTTTTAAAAAGTTTTTACAGTACTTACAAACAAAATGTAATAACATCTATCTGTCTTTATATACTTGGCTAGGAATACAAGTTTCAAGTTGAAAAGGTTGACTTATAAAGGGAAAACTTGGTTTCCTGACAAAGCCGGGTTCCCAAGTTGGTCTTGCATGTAATCATATGATAAAGATTCTACACTCCTACCTCAGTAATGGTGATTTTTAGGGATGAAGAGGGAACTCCTCTCGAAAGTCTGAAAAGTAAATTTATAAAACTTGGAAACATTGCACATATTAATGTTTGTATAAATTTATACTAAAACTATGCAGTACCTTATAACATTCCAGTGTCGGCTCCCTCTAGCTGGAAGAATGGCACTCTGCACAATATTTCCATCATACAGAATATCAACTTGTTTTAAATAATATAATATTTACAATATTGGACAATATTTCCATCATACAGAATATCAACTTGTCTTAAATAATATAATATTTATAATATTGGACAATATTTCCAGTAAACAGAATATCAACTTGTCTTAAATAATATAATATTTACAATTTTCACAATATTTCCATTAAACAGAATATCAACTTGTCTTAAATAATAGATTATTTACAATATTGCACAATATTTCCATCAAACAGAATATCAACTTGTATATACTTTGCTTGTGTGTTTGTTTCTTTATTTGTATCTCATAAACGTCAAAATGGCTGACCCGATCGGGCCCAAATTTTGTGTGGGACATCGAATGACCACAGGGAAGATCTTGTCTGCTCAGAATTTCAAAAAGTTGTATTCAAAAGCTTTTGATTTTAGTGAAATAAAAAAAATGCGTGAAAAAACATAAAAAATCCACGAATATTTTGTTAATATTTATTTTTTATACTGTACAAAAATTACCGATTTGCTTCGGCTTCCGCAAACCTTTGAAGCAGCTTTATCTCCTAAAAAAAATTTAGATTGCTTTTTACAAAATATAGAAAAACATTTTTATAAATATTCATTAATCCAATAAATCTTAATATTTTAAATTCGATCACCTTAATAATAATTTCTTGTGAAAAAGTTGCTTGAATCCAGGCCCCGACACCCTCACCCTAAAAATTCTTATTTAAAAAATGTTATTAGTAGATTTGGATCTATGCTACCCTAATCTCATGTAAAGGATAAATTCAAAATTATCTATTTTCTGTGAATACTCATTCGTACGGTGGTTTAGCAAGCCTATAGGTTTTAACAACATTTAGATTCTTTTAAAAAGATTCAATTTTGCATATAGGCCGGTTAGATTTGCATATAGGCCGGTTAGATTTGCTTATGGGCCAGTTAGATTTGCATATAGGCTGGTTATTTTTGCATATAGGCCAGTTAGATTTGGCATATAGGCCGGTTAGATTTATAGGCTGGTTATATTTGCATATAGGCTGGTTATATTTGCATATAAGCCAGTTATATTTGCATATAGGCCGGTTAGATTTGCAAATAGGCCAGTTAGATTTTGCATATAAGCCAGTTAGATTTGCATATAGGACGGTTAGATTTGCATACAGGCTGGTTAGATTTGCATATAGGCCGGTTAGATTTGCATTAGGCCAGTTAGATTTGCATATAGGCCGGTTAGATTTGCATATAGGCCCGATAAATTTGCATATAGGCCGGTTAGATTTGCATATAGGCCGGTTAGATTTGCATATAGGCCGGTTAGATTTGCATATAGGCCCGATAAATTTGCATATAGGCCAGTAAGATTTGCATATAGGCTGGTTAAATTTGGCATATAGGCCAGTTAGATTTGCATATAGGCCGGTTAGATTTGCATATAGGCCAGTTAGATTTATAGGCTGGTTATATTTCCATATAAGGCGGTTAGATTTGCATATAAGCCAGTTAGATTTGCAAATAGGCCAGTTAGATTTTGCATATAAGCCAGTTAGATTCGCAGATAGGCCGGTTAGATTTGCATATAGGCCGGTTAGATTTGCACATAGGCTGGTTAGATTTGCATATAGGCCAGTTAGATTTGCATATAGGCTGGTTAAATTTGCATATAGGCCAGTTAGATTTGCATATATGCCAGTTAGATTTGCATATAGTCAAGTTAGATTTGCATATAGGCCTATAAGATTTGGCATTTAGGCCGGTTAGATTTGCATATAGGCCAGTTAGATTTTGCATATAAGTCGGTTAGATTTGGCATATAGGCCAGTTAGATTTGGCATATAGGCTGGTTAGATTTGCATATAGGCCGGTTAGATTTGCATAAAGGCCAGTTAGATTTGCATATTGGCCAGTTAGATTTGCATATAGGCCAGTTAGATTTTGCATATAGGCCGGTTAGATTTGCATATAGGCTTGTTAGATTTGCATATAGGCCGGTTAGATTTGCATATAGACCGGTTAGATTTTGCATATAGGCCAGTTAGATTTGCATATAGGCCAGTTAGATTTATAGGCTGGTTAGATTTGCATATAAGCCGGTTAGATTTGCATATAGGCCAGTTAGATTTGCATATAGGCCAGTTAGATTTTGCATATAAGCCAGTTAGATTTGCAGATAGGCTGGTTAGATTTGCATATAGGCCAGTTAGATTTGCAAATAGGCCGGTTAGATTTGCATATAGGCCGGTTAAATTTGCATATAGGCCAGTTAGATTTGCATATAGGCTGGGTAAATTTTGCATATAGGCCAGTTAGATTTGGCATATAGGCCAGTTAGATTTTGCATATAGGCCAGTTAGATTTGGCATATGGCTGGTTAGATTTGCATATAGGCCAGTTAAATTTGGCGTATAGGCCAGTTAGATTTGGCATATGGGCCGGTTAGATTTGGCATATAGGCCAGTTAGATTTGCATATAGGCCGGTTAGATTTGCATATAGGCCGGTTAGATTTGGCATATAGGCCGGTAAGATTTGCATATTGGCCAGTTAGATTTGCATATAGGCTGGTTAAATTTGGCATATAGGCCAGTTAGATTTGGCATATAGGCCGGTTAGATTTGCATATAGGCCGGTTAGATTTGCATATAGGCCGGTTAGATTTGGCATATAGGCCGGTTAGATTTGGCATATAGGCCAGTTAGATTTGCATATAGGCCAGTTAGATTTGGCATATAGGCTGGTTAGATTTGGCATATAGGCCAGTTAGATTTGACATATAGGCCAGTTAGATTTGGCATATAGGCCAGTTAGATTTGGCATATAGGCTGGTTAGATTTGCATATAGGCAGGTTAGATTTGCATATAGGCTGGTTATATTTGCATATAAGCCAGTTAGATTTGCATATAGGCCGGTTAGATTTGCATATAGGCCGGTTAGATTTGGATATAGGCCGGTTAGATTTGGATATAGGGCGGTTAGATTTGGATATAGGCCAGTTAGATTTGGCATATGGCTGGTTAGATTTGGCATATAGGCCAGTTAGATTTGCATATAGGCCGGTTAGATTTGCATATAGGCCGGTTAGATTTGCATATAGAACAGTTAGATTTGGCATATAGGCCGGTTAGATTTTGCATATAAGCCAGTTAGATTCGCATAAAGGCCAGTTAGATTTGCATTTAGGCCAGTTAGATTTGCATATAGGCCGTTTAGATTTGCATATAGGCCGGTAAGATTTGCATATAGGCCAGTTAGATTTGGATATAGGCCGGTTAGATTTTGCATATAAGCCAGTTAGATTCGCATATAGGCCAGTTAGATTTGCATATAGGCTGGTTAGATTTGCATATAGGCCGGTTAGATTTGCATATAGGCCAGTTAGATTTGGATATAGGACGGTTAGATTTTGCATATAAGCCAGTTAGATTCGCATATAGGCCAGTTAGATTTGCATATAGGCCAGTTAGATTTGGCATATAGGCTGGTTAGATTTGCATATAGGCCGGTTAGATTTGCATATAGGCCGGTTAGATTTGCATATAGGCTGGTTAGATTTGCATATAGGCCGGTAAGATTTGCATATAGGCCAGTTAGATTTGCATATAAGCTGGTTAGATTTGCATATAGGCTGGTTAGATTTGGCATTTATGCCGGTTAGATTTATATATAGGCCGGTTAGATTTGGATATAGGCTGGTTAGATTTATAGGCTGGTTAGATTTGGCACTGATAAATCATAATTTTCCAAATGTTGAAATTTTTCCAAAAAAACAAGAAAATTCCGCGAATTTTATTATTAGTGATTAACTGGAACAACAAAAACCTAAGCTTATTTCCAAAAAATAAAAAGGGGCAGTGTGAAATGTATATTGCTGCTACTTTAATATTTATAGTACAAACCCCTGTAAAATTATCCTAACTGCCCCTGTAAGGGATCGAAGACGCTCTTTATGTCGTCTCTACACTGTCATGTTTCGTGGGACACTCTGTACCTTTGATGCCCAAGTAGACCCAACCCGATTTGTTTGTAGAACTCCGTCAAAGGCCTTTGCACAGGTATGCTTTCTGAATATAGGAGGACTTAAATTCTAATTTGATCAGTGATTTTTTGACAGTTAATTTCAAAAAAAAAAATTTTAAATATTGAAACAAGAAAGTTTAAATTTTTGTAAAATATTTAAGTTAGTATAATATTAAATCTATATATACCTACTATATGTAGAGGAGGCTGAACAACTGATCATATTTGATGTAACTGCCTGAATACATTTTCATGATTGTACTTTCAAACTAAAATTTTAGTATTTAAACGAATTATTGACATAATTTAAAGAAGGGTTTCCAAAATTCAGATCATTCGCAAAATTTCGATAAGCCATTTGACAATAGATACGAAAACGAAAATGAAAATTACGATAATTTTTGCAAAAATTTTCAATAAACCATTTTTGAAATTTTCAAAAAAAATCTAATTTTCAATGGAAACCTAAATGTTTAAGTGATCCTTTATAGCTAAAGAGTATGGGCCTCACATGATACGCTTTCGCCCTTTTACTGAAGAAAAATGACTCAGATATTCTTGTTTAATAATTTTCGATGTCGGGTCCCTCTAAAAGGGATTGAATACAGGACATGTATTGCAGAGATAAACCGTGTAATTTAAGTTTTTCAAAAGAACTCAATTGAAATTTAGTCAACAGTCTATTTCAACATCATCATTATCATTTTTCATGTTAAAAATGATGATAAACCAGTTTCTCAAAAAAGTACAATCTAAAAATTCCTTTGGATGAGTGCATGTGTCCTCTGGCAGGGTGCTATCTATGCTATCTATAAAATAATATCTAAAATTATTTTTCACATATTTCAGTAATGTGAGAGAATTTATATTATCCGAGAAGCTTGAGATTAAAACTATCTTAAAAATAAAAAATATTGAAATTTTTTTTTTTAAATTGAAAAGTGATTTTTCAAAAGAATTTGTCTAACATCTTGATATATAATAACCCTATCCCTGTTGATTTTGGATTTTTTAGTTTTAAAACCTGAAGAAGGAGTTGTTGTATTCTCACGAACTGTTACATCGTCAATTAGGTTATCTCCAGCTGATGTTGAGTTCTCTTCATCATTATCATCATTATCATCATTATCATCATTATCATCATTATCATCATTATCATCATTATCATCATTATCATCATTATCATCATTATCATCATTATCATCATTATCATCATTATCATCATTATCATCATTATCATCATTATCATCATTATCATCATTATCATCATTAATATGACCTGTTTCTATTTGATTTCTATAAATATCCATGACATTACGAAGCAGACTCATTGTTTTGTTTGCAAAGTCCGCATGGCCAGACTAAGATGATAAAAAGAGTGTCAATAACATTTCAGGAGTTTTATTTCAGTTTGTCTTGGAGAGTTTGTATTTCAGAAGTTTGTAATTCAGGAGTTGGCCAATCAGGAGTTTGTTTTTAGGATTGTGTATTTCAGGAGTTTGTATTTCAGGGGTTAATATTTTAGGAGTTAATATTTCAGGAGTTTGTATTTCAGGAAATTGTATTTCAGGAGTTTGTCTTCTAGAAGATTGTCTTTCATGAGTTTGTATTTCATGAGTTTATTTTTTAGGAGATTGTACTTCAGTAGTTTGTACTTAAGGAGTTTGTCTTTCCTGAGTTTGTTCTTCAGGATTTTGTCTCTGAGGAATTTATCTCAGGAGTTTGTTATTCAGGAGTTTATCTCTTACGCGTTTTTATTTCAGGAGTTTGTAATTCAGGAGTTAGTATTTCAGTAGTTTGTCTTTTAGAAGATTGTCTTTCAGGAGTTTGTCTTTCAGTAATCAGGAGTCTGTCTTTCAGGAGTTTGCCTTTCAGGAGTTTATATTACAGGAGTTTTTATTTCAGGAGTTTGTATTCAGGAGTTTGTCTTACGGAGTTTGTCTTAAGGAGTTTGTCTTTCAGGAGTTTTTCTTCAAGAGTTTTATAAATGAATTATTACCTTACTACTTTGAATTTCTGCAACAGTCATATTGAGAGCCATCTCTAACAGGTTCATTCGTTTGTTTGTGTCAATATTCGTCATTTCCTAGATAGTTGGATATTAGATATAATTATCATCAAGATATGAATTTGATTTTAATCTCCTTATAGATTATATATGTAGGTTTAATCACCTCGTTTTTATGAATTTGATTTTAATCTCCTTATAGATTATATATGTAGGTTTAATCACCTCGTTTTTATGAATTTAATGTTTGATAAATATGCAAGTATACATATCTAAATCAATAAAGAAATCGAGTCTTTACCACAAACTTTGATTTTATAATTCCTACATCTTTGCAAAACTCTGCATGAAGACTTTTCATATTTATTTTGACAGCAAAACCTAATCTTTAAGTTTTAAGCCAAGAATTAAGTTTTGAAAACATTAAAGATTCCTCATTTCTCTTTGTAAAATTTTTAACCCTGTGTTCAGAGAGAAGCGTGTATTATTAAATAATTTAAGCATAATGTCTTCAGGAAATTGAAGGTACCGTACAGGGTGTCCCAGAATTTCAATCGGACCACGTACATTTAGAAATGCCAGGAGGGCAAGTTTTTTCAACAATAGCTAATCTGTTTTTTAAGCCGATAAACGTCAAAACTGTCAAAATTGTTGTGGCAACTAACATAACCACAGTGGCTGGTTGAAATAGAAATTTGTTTCTAGGCTAAATTTTTAATTTTAAATTTGCGATTTTCAAAAATCCACCAATTTAAACAAAAAAATCTTTTAGAAAATTTATATTTATTAAAGAACAATACAAAATGATGGGACACCTTCTGTTCCCCGGGAATTCCAAGATATCCTGTTAAAACCATAATATTAATATCTTTCTATCTATCTATCCTGTTGAAAGCGTGATTTTGATATGGATGATTTATAAACATTAATATACACTGTACTGCGCCACATTGCATTTTGCAATAATAGAGGGTTCCCATTCATCTATCTATCTATCTATCTATCTATCTATCTATCTATCTATCTATCTATCTATCTATCTATCTATCTATCTAACCATCTATCCATCTCTCTATCTATCTATCTACTTATCTATCTATCTATCTATTTATCAATATATCTATTTATCTATCTATCTATTTATCTATCTATCTATTTATCTATCTATCTATCTATTTATCTATTTCATTTTATTTTACCTATATGTAATAAAAACATTAAACCTTTAGTTTATAAAGATTTTCTTTACAGCTTTATGATGTGACATCAACATCAAAATTCTGCGCCTGCAGTTATGAGCTAACTTTATTGGGTCTTTATTAGAAAGATATTGAAAGATATACCTGTCTGAAACCTGATTCTTCAATCTCTTCCTGAATATTTTCCACCATATGCCTTAATATATTTATATAAATAGATAAATAGATAAATAGATAAATATGTATGTTGATGAATCCACCTAAGGAAAGTACTTGATCCAAAAACACTGAAAAGGTCGAAATCTATTTAAGTCTTCTGAAAAAAAACTAGTTTTAAACAATGAATTTTTTCAAGATATTGTACTACAACCGCCCTTAAATTACACTTCAGTACACTTCAGTACACAACAAAAATCTGTTTAACTAGGGGTAATATCGTTTTAGAGTTTCTAACTAATGAAAAATCAACATATTTGTAAAAATTTCAGTTGCCTGCATAATTTTCTATGACTTTTTTCCAGAAACTTTTTTGGATAAAACTATACCGTGACAAATATTTTGCAGAACACATATTCACAATTTTTTTTTCGCAGGACTTTACAAGTGCCAGAAATAAGGACTGGTTTTGCAACTATCTTCTGATTGTGGCTTTATTGAATATATACGTATTATGTTATTTAAAAAATCGATAGTTTTTCAAAAATCTAATTTATTTTCGACAATATATTTATTTTTATCAAATTTCACGGGCAACGCCGGGTATAGCAAGTATAGATATAAAGAACTAATATATACCTGAGAATATCCAACTCTTGACTCAGATTTTCATGATTATCATTCATCGATATACTAACAAACATATCATAGATAATAACTCTCATAATAATGATATTTTGAAAAAAAAATGCTTGATTTTCAATTTACTAACATTAATCTGGGGCAAAGTTGCACGAACAACAACAACCATTACAAAACAAAAATAAAAGAACATTAAAAGAGAAAACAACAGCTTTTAGGATCAAGATTTCAAAAAATCATTTTCTTTATAAAAATTGATTTTTTCGTTTTCTCTATAAATTACCTAGCTCCCGAAACCAGGGATTTTGTTCAGAATTAACTTTTTTCAAGTAGGAAAACAACAACGTTTTTCATAAAACGGATTGAACGTGAATTTATCCAATTGTTAAAGGGAGTCTTCTGTTGGAATTAAATTGATTTGTTTACTATCCGAGCTAGTTGAATGTTGCATCTTTCCGAATTTATATGGATACTACGTTCTTCGGTGTGAGTCGTTTTTTACAATTTTCTCCTTATAGTCGCAACAGATAGAAGTAAGATTAGTAGAGATCAAAAGCGCTTTTTTATCGCATTAAGCCTATACCCCCTTTAATTTTTCGTGAACACTCCCTTTAACATACAGATTTAACGTAAACCTTATTTGTCAACAGATTAAAAAAGTACTAAGACGCCCAGCTCTAATATTAAAAAAGTACTAAGACACCCAGCTCTAATTTTAAAAAGTACTAAGACGCCCAGGTCTAATATTAAAAAAGTACTAAGACACCCAGCTCTAATATTAAAAAAGTACTAAGACGCCCAGCTCTAATATTAAAAAAGTACTAAGGCGCCCAACTCTAATTTTAAAAAAGTACTAAGACGCCCAGCTCTAATATTAAAAAAGTACTAAGACGCCCAGCTCTAATATTAAAAAGTACTAAGGCGCCCAGCTCTAATATTAAAAAAGTACTAAGACGCTATTAAAAACTAACCTGTGATCATTTGTCTGGTTGGAGACAACATCAATCCTCTCATGAATCATCTAAATGTTAATAATTTAGTTTATACAGAGGTAAACAAAAACAATAGAAGTCGTCTTTTTTCATATGAATGTGCCTTACAGGTCTGTTTTAATTCTATAAATCTTAAACCCTTAATCCTGATTGTCAAAAATTTAGCAATGGATATTTTTCTTTTGTTTTGTTTTAGTCCTTAATAAAACCCTCCTTCAGGGGGGTTCTGAAACATGTTCTTTCCCTTGAAACCGAGCATCAGGGATGCCCAGATTTTCTTAGGAGACCCCAATTTTGGAGACCAGATATTTTCGTTTGAAAATTCCAGATTTTCATTGCAGATCCCCAGATTATCATTGGAGACCCCCAGCTTTACATCGAGACTCCCACAATTTCATTGGACATTCCACGAAATTCATTGGAGACCCCAGATTTTCTTTGGAGACATCCAGCCGTTCATTAGAGACCCCTCAGAATTTCTTGGGAGACCCCAACATTTTCATTGGAGGTTCCCAGATTTTCTGTGGACCAAGAGTTTCATTGGTGACTCTCAGAATTTTATTGGAGACCCCAGATTTTAGTGGGAGACCCCAAAATTTTAATTTAAGCCACCAAGATTTTCATTGGAGCAAATTTTATTTTCATTTGAGACCCCCGGATTTTAATTGGGGATCCCAATATTTTTATTGGAGACACCAGATTTTATATGGAGACCCCAAACTATTCGTAGAAGACCCAAGATTTTCGTTGGAGACTTCCAGATTTTATTATAGACCCAAGATTTTCGAAAGAGACCCCAGATTATCATTGGAGACACCAGTTTTATGTTGAGACCACATATTTTCGTTGCAGACCCCCAGACGAAAATCTGGGGTCTTGATGTAAATCTGGGGGTCTCCAATGAAAATCTGGAAGTCTCCAACAAAATCTGTTGTTTCCAGTGAAAAGATTGGGGTCTCCAATAAAAATCTGGAGGTCTCTGATTAAAATCTGTGGGTCTCAAAGAAAATCTGTTGTCTCCGATGAATTTATTTGGAGAATAAAGAAAGAAATAAGAAATCAGGAATCTGCAACGAAAATCTGGGATCTCAATGAAAAGCTGGGGGTCTCCTATGATAATCTGGGGGTCTCCAAAGAAAAGTTGGGATTCTCCAACGAAATGATCGTAATGGCCGACCATTGCCCCTAATGCCCGGTTTCTATAAGGCAGTAACCGACCATTGCCCCTAATGCTCAGTTTCTATAAGGCAGTAACCGACCATTGCCCCTAATGCCCGGTTTCTATAAGGCAGTAACCGACCATTGCCCCTTATGCTCGGTTTCTATAAGGCAGTAACCGACCATTGCCCCTAATGCTCAGTTTCAAGGGCAAGAAAGCGTTATAGTTCCCCAACTGATACTTTAACAAATTATAAAAAAATTACCTTTTCCATATTGGAACTGGATTCAGAATTATTATTTCTATCATTATTAATAAAAAATAATGGATTTTTTTTTTAAAATGCAAAAATGTTCTACAAAAATCAGGTTTTTTTACTTGATTTTTTAAAAAATTACACGGGCAACGCCGGGCACTTTAGCTAGTTATTATTTTTATTATAAAATGTTTTCATTTAATTATCACTCAAATAATCTGAAGAAATAGATAATTAAAGTAAAATAGATAATTATCTCAATAATTAAAAAAATTTAAAAAGTTCTTACAATGTACTTTCTTTCGTTGTCAGCAGCTGTTTTCAGTGCTTTGTCAATATTCCTTCCATTAGCACTAGTTTTTACAGATTGAAAAAGAAATTCCAAATAATTACTAAAAACTTGTTTACATGTTCATGTATATTAACAAGAAATTAAGAAATTAAACAAAATAAAGTTTTTACTTTGACTAAAAAAAGGGGTTTAAAAAAATAAGTAAAAAGTTGGATTTAGAAAAAAAAGCGGGGTTGGCAAAAAATGATTTGGCTATACAAGTGGGTTGGCAAAAAAGAGGGTTAGCAAAAAATATAACACTAAAAAACAGTTTCTTTATGATCTTGTGAATACTGTTTAGTGTTTATTCTTTATTTTTCACTTCTTTTTCAGAAACATAGAATAGAAGTCTAGGAAAATTTTAATTTGTCTTTTTTTTCAATAATAAAATCTTCAATTGAGAACGTCTGCCATGTTTTATAAATGTTTTCTTTTCAACCCTGATATTTGTTTTTAAACTTGTTTTCAAAGATTCCAAAACCGGTCTTAACATCAACTTTAACCTGAATATTTATAATTATGAACTGTGAATTATGAATTATGAATTTGTATATGTACAGTCTGTAAAGAAGAAGAAGAAGAAGAAGAAGAAGAAGAAGAAGAAGAAGAAGAAGAAGAAGAAGAAGAAGAAGAAGAAGAAGAAGACTTCTACCTATTGAATGTACTATTATCCTTCATAACTCGAATATCCGAAACCGCTGTGTTCAATTTTTCCCCAACAGTTTGAATTTCACCCCTAAAATAAATATAAATAAAAAGATTCTTAATTTAAGTTCTTTCAAATAAGTTTTGTTTATTTTTTGGTTATTTTGAACTGTTATATAACTAAAATTGTGCCTCAATAACACGTCTAAAATAAAATTTACCATGAAGTTAGCGTGAATGGATTGTGAATGATAAATTACACAAAAGTTTCATTAACAAAGTTAAAAATAAACTTATTTACTGGTACACATTATTGTAGTAAATGTCCTACTCCAAAGGTGTTTCTCAAACCCATATCAATCCAGGCATAACTCAATGTTCTCAAACCCATGTCAATCCAGGCATAACTCAATGTTCTCAAACCCATATCAATCCAGGCATAACTCAATGTTCTAAAACCCAAATCAATCCAGATATAACTCAATGTTCTCAAACCCGTATCAATCCAGGTATAACTCAATTTTCTCAAACCCGGATCAATCCAGGTATAACTCAATGTTCTCAAACCTGGATCAATCCAGATATAACTCAATGTTCTCAAACCCGGATCAATCCAGGTATAACTCTATGTCACTTTACTTTGAATGTCAAACCAAACACGATCTTATAAACTATCTAATATCTATGTCAAACCAGACACGATCTTATAACAATCAATGACTCAACTCGGACATGATCTCATAAACTATCAATGCCTCAACTAGGACACAATCTTATAAACTATCAAGACCTCAAGTCAGACACAATCTTGTAAACTATCAATGTTACTTTTGGACATACATATCAAAGAATTTATGAAACCATAAATGAAGAGTATAGTCATAAAGAACCTCCAAAATCAATTTCTGGGTTCTATAATAAATATATAGAATGTTCTGAGCCGGAAACTTTTGTGTTTGATATCTTGATATCTGCAGATGCAAAACTCTAAAGCTGATATAAGGCTTGAAGCCTTAAATTGGTGAATCCTTAAAATGAAAGGGGGCATGGGCTGAAACCAAAGCATTTTAGGAGTTGATCGAGACCCATAAAAGTGTTATCTGATGTTCCTGTCTCGAGAAATTGATATAAAACTGTGTCTTTATATGAACCTATTATACCCCCTTTAATTCTTTTCTTTACAGTCCCTTTAAAGCTTTCAATTGATGAATCCTTTAATCCTAAATCTGCCATTGACAGCCTTTCACCCCTGAAATAGATTCTGTCGTTTTCCGACAAAGCCTAGAAATCCTCGGAACAAAAGTTTGCTCTCTGTACATAGTGTTCAGTGTGTGCATGCAATGATTAATAAATTAGATTTACAGACGGGACACCGTGGCAGGTTGTATAGAGTTATAAGATACAAAGTAAAGTGAGTAGTTTGCTCTCTGTACATAGTGTTCAGTGTGCATGCAATGATTAATAAATTAGATTTACAGACGGCACACCGTGATTTATTTAATGTGGCAGGTTGTATAGAGTTATAAGATACAAAGTAAAGTGAGTAGTTAGTACACGTCAAATTAAAGAAAAAGAATTAAGTCTTTGTCTCGAACTCTGATTTTTTAATCTCTATATCTTTGCAACCAAATGTTGTATACCTCAGATATTACAAACTATGAATTCTGCTATGATCAAATAATCTAAGTTTACAATATTACAGGTTTTCGTCATCAGGTTAAATAAATATAGCTATGGAGAAGAACAAAAATGTTTTGAGTTTTTAACTACAACAAAAACTTGCATTTCTAATATCTATGCAAACAATAAAAAAACTATTTGAGCTACGTGGTCACAAAATCGTATCAGTAAGGTCGGAGTAGGGTCAATCAGGGGCAGCCTATAATATTTTCCAAGGAGGGGGAAATAAATGAATTTTTGCGTGCGAAGCGCAATGAATTTCCCCCCACTGAAATTTTCTAAATGGAATTTGGTCGGTTGTATTTATCAAAACCATGATAAGTTAGGGTGTGGAAGGTGAAAAGTGTGTTAGCATGATTTGGATTTTTATTTAAAAAATAAAATTTTGATGGAAAAGTTTTTTTATATATTCTTACATATCAAAATTTAAGGACTAATAGGTGCCTGCTCTCTCTTGTACTTTTAATTTTACAGGGGGGGGGATGTCGCCCTCTCTGATGTCAATCATAACCAAATTATAGATAATAAAGTACAATGAGATTTTGGTGAACTTTTGCATGACATCAATGGTTTTAAATGGGACATCAATTGTCTGTTCATCAGACACGTTTTTAGTGTAGAAGACATTAGATAAAACAACACACACTAAAAAAAAACATAAAACTGCAATAATTTAAATGCAAACTTGTTTAAATGTTTCACCATTTACGAATACTTTGTCTGACACTGAAAATTTAAATGTTACCAGATCTCATCCTAAATGTATTTTTAATCTCCAGTGCATCAAAACCATATTACACAATAATTATCTGTATCATAAAATTTTATAATAAAATGTAAAACCTGAGTTCATTTTGAAAATCAATCGATGAGTTGAGATCCTGAACAACCTAAAAAAACGTGTTTCAATATGTTAGAGTGTAGTGTAGTTATCCGAGCTGACCGGACGTGTCTTTGTGAGCTCCCGGATTAAACTGACCGACAACCCAACACCGGGTTAACTTATTCACATGCTCCATATTATGTGAAAACACAAACACTCAGATAACTTGTTTAGTGCATTTATTTCCAGTAAAAAATATTTCTACTAGACTCAAAATGACTGACACAAAAATAGACATGGGTCTTATAAGCGATTTAGTAAAAAAATTGGAGAAGTTGGAGAATTCGAAAGAAAGCGAAGGGTCTGAATGGAGTAAAGTGCAAGGAAAGGATAGAAAAGCAAAGATGAAAGTTAAGGGAGGGATTGTTGATGCAAAGATAGATCCAACAGATCTAAACTCTGTTCTTTCTCTCATTGTTCAGGCTATCACCGTCTTAGTTGACCAGCAGGATATATTAAGGGAACACAAAGATAGAATTAATGATCTAGAGAAGCAGAGTAGAGCACAAGGTGACCTTCTTGATGAGATTCAACAACGCTCCATGAAGGGAAACCTCATACTCTCAGGGGTTGCAGGAAAAAATAAACCTAGCTTGATAAAACCTCAGGAGCAACTTAAACAGGAGAAAGTTACTACAACCACTTATGCTTGTCAGTTGATCAAAACTAAATACAATGTCGTAGTTCCTGAGAATGACATACAAGCATGTCACTATCTACCTAACAATACCATACTGGTTCGGTTTTGGAACCGAAAGGAAGGGTCACCCTGGGATCACCTCACGACTGAGATCAAGAAGGGAGGGAAGAAAGAGGTTGGTCTGTATGCCAATTTTCAACTTACTAACAAGAGAAACAGCCTAATGTATCATCTCAGGTCTATGAAGAAAGAAGGTAAAATCAGCAAACTATTCTCTAATGAGAATGGTCAGCTAGGTCTGAAAGTGTCTGATACAAGTGAAAAGAAAGTGATAAGTTTTGTGCCTGATCAGAAATACGGAACCCCAAAAACTCTCAATCTTGCTGAAATCCAGGCTCTCATAAATTCTAAAGTTTAAAATCTGTATATAGTAGTACATAATATTGCCAAAAAGAGTATGCANTTAAAATCATCAATTTTGTGATTGTAAACTCTATCTGTATACAGATACATTTATTTTAGCAATAAACGTTATCTTATCTTATCTTATCTTATCCTTATTTTTCATCTCTTACGAGGGATGGAGTGCAGAGCCACCATTAACCCCACTTTTTAGCATCCAAACCCGCAGAATCGACATCGAAAAACCGCAATTGAAGCTAAAACATTTACAGAATCATCATACAGAAGTCAGAATCCGGGGTTCAAATTGCATCTGTGGGATTTAGATACATGTTGATAGGCGGTGACAGGGATGTCATTCTGCAAATTAAGTGGTTCAGATGTTAAAATGTGGGATTAATGGCGGCTCTGTCCCTCCCGTAGATAAATAAATAAACATAGATAGCTTATGTACGCAAAATCACCAAGAATTGTACAGTCTGCAAACTCATACTTCTAGGGGTCAAAGTGTACTTCAAAGATAAGCGGGGTGGTTTGGTGTTTTAATGGATTTCATAATTATTAAACCACTCAGGAGTGAATTTTATTTTGAGAATATCAAATTATTTCACTGAGCAATATATCATATTGACGAGAACTGAAGAAATACATGAGAAGGACTAAACTAACTTAAATTTTTCTCTGCAGAACGCATGTACACCACAAGTACTAAATGACATAAGAACAGCCAATGTTCACAACCGACCTAGTTAATCTATATAATAGGAATATCTTTAAAACATCTTAGTACATTTATAACTTTCAAGATGAAAAATGTCGTCTTGTGCGCAATCTATCTTTATCTATGGGCCCTCCTCTTACCTTATCAAAGTTTGTTGCGCCAGAAACCCTCGTGTCAATTATAAGAACTACAATAAGTACTGCCAACAAACAGATCACACCTTCCACGCACCAGAATTGTTTTAACTTAAATTATTAAGGCAGATAAATGAAAAGGCATCTTTTGCTAACCGGGGCAAGATACATTTTGTTTCTTTGGTTTCAATCTTGTGTTGGTATATAATTCAACAATCTTTAAACTTACAAAGTTGTCATAGTATTGTTTTTCAATATAAAAGAGTTAAACAGAGATATTTATGTTTAATACGTCAAAATGTGATCAATAGTCAAAGTCTGCTGTGCCAAGGATGGAGCTGATGAATTAGTGTGAGGTGTGAGGAGAAAAGAAGGAATGCAATGAATGCAAATACAGCGTAATACTAAGGCAAACCAATTAATGTTTGATCAGTATAAAAAAGAGTAAAGTCTTCTGTGTTTAAGCTTTTAATTAGAAATAAAGTTTTATAATTTGCTATGGGTTGGTGCCTACGACCGATATATTTCTGAAAATATTGTTCATGGCTCATGCCCGTTACAAATTACAGAATCCTTGATGCCTTCTAATTAATAGACTTAATAAAAATGACCAATACAATTTAGATTTTAACTGCAGTCGAGATCCAATCATAAGATATTCAGAGATGGGGACTACTCTACAAAATTCGTACCGGCCCTACTATGTGTTGTAAAATTTGGAACCGAATTCAATTGTATGATTTATACAAGGTGTCCCAATAAACATGGGAATTCAGTGACGAATTCGATATCGTCTTTTCAAATAATTCTTTGATTTAGTATAGTGATACCTACTGAGAAAGCTGTAATCTGTAAGAGTTTCGTCTGCTATGTTTACATTTTGTTTGTTTATGTTTTGACTGCATACGGTTGTACTTAGTAAAACAAGAAAGTTACAGTATACAAACAGAGTAAACTTGTCCTGAAGTATAATCTACCATGATGTGCGATTCTAATTCGTTATCTGTATTAATAATATTATTATCTTAACTATTTGTATGTTGACCCAGCCGGGCTAGCCCGGTCAGTTCATTTTTACCTGTTTATAAATAAAGTAGTTGAATATCATTTGTTGATTAGAACGGACGTATACAGAGCCTTGAGTGTTGGCTAGAGATAGAGAGCCTTAAGATTTGGCT